AATATGGCTCCTGTAAATTCTTTTTTACATGATTATGGTCAATATTTTGAGGTTGGTTTGGATGGTCACCAAGAATTATTATAAATAAGTATAGTTTAACAAGTCATTTAGTATTCATAATCTATCATTCACAATGATGAAATAAAACGAGAAAAAGTAAATGATTTTTCTTTAGTATAGTTTAGTCTTTAATGCACCAAAATGATGAAGATGACATATATAGTTTTTTCACTTAACAAGGGGAAACTCCATATATTTAAAAGCTAACTTCTACGCTCTACCAAATCCGGCGATGATGCGACGTCGGCGGTCGCCATTTTCTCCCTCCTATAACGTGTATACGGCGGTAGAAATAGGGACAGGCAAAAAATCGGAGACTTTGAAAAGCCCTACGCTGATTAAACTACCTAATAATTAGTTACCGTAATTATCTCTCCCTAATTAATTGCGTAATTAAAATGGTAGTTTGAATTAGGATGGAAGCAAAATACCATTCTTATCCCTAGTAACCACGGTGGTTACTAACACTAAGTATCCACCATAACCTGTCCCTGTCCAACACCGGTCTAGTTGGCATCAACACCCATTGGAACGCTCTCCGTGGAAAGCTCAAGCGAGGATTAATAGTTCCAGCCAGTGAATCTTCTTTCATTTAAGGGCATCACAGTTCAATGAATTGGTACTACAGGCCTGAAAAAGGAAATCATAAAGCCTACCTAATAATTATATGCACTAACCATCAAAATAATAATGATGATTATTATTATATGCACTAAAACCTCATCAAGTAATTTCCCAGGTAGGTTCACAATTTGCATCCAAGGGCACCGAATTTATGTAGTGATAGCACATTAAGCACACACAAACTACTAAATAGAAACCATAAGCTTAGTGGGGAGCAATCCAGCAGCCTCATTAGGGTAGTCACAGGAATCGCAAAATGAATCCTTTCATGACCACATAGAGCAACAATCTGCCGACATGGTAACACAAAAGGGGAGAAAAGATAAATTTAGAATGAGGTAAGTTTAGAAATGGTAAAATAATGCATCATTGAAACCTCTTAACAATCTCCCCATCACAAGCATGCTAACACCATCTAACATTGCTAAAAAAAACTCATTTCAATATCGATCATTCATGTCTATATGATATCCTAGATGCTTAAGGTTGCTAAAACGCAGCAAGATAGGATGTTGAGTTCCAAATGGCTAAAAAACCGAATAAAAATCTCGAAAACAAATCAAACAAAAGAGAGCATAAATTTGCTCCCCTTCGTCCTACCTATGTATCTTGTTGGAGACACTCTTTGATGAAACTGAGGCCGCAAACACTTCTATAATTAGTTGGGGTAAATAGCATAAGAGAAAAGAGTTGTACCATCAAGTGGCACAGAGAAATAAAATAAAAACAACGGGGAATTTAGACACCACCGTCAATCATATTTAGCTAAATTTAAATCCAAGGCATGAAATCTATAATCTAATGAAACAAAACATACAAAGGTACATGTAAAATAAAAAAAGAGGATTGCTTGATTGTAAAAAGTATTTGATCCAAAGCAACAGTTAGACTGCAAGTCAATCTTTCTTCTGAGTGGCTACAAAAGAAGCAGCTAAAAAACTCTAGAGTTTGGAATCGGAACACTACCTTGGGTTACAACATTTATGGACACCGGATAAATCAACTCTGCTCATGCATCTCAGATCCATTAACACTAAGGCTGCGCTCTGCTACTAAATCTGTGGAAGGCACCTGTAGCAGCAAATGGGACGTGTCAAATGGGATATTATAAGATTAGAATAAAACTTCTGAATAAGAAAGCGTGTATATAGGGAGGAAATAACACCAAATATTTGTACGCATAGACTGGAAGCTCGAACAATGTGTACAAATTGAGAACACCCTCTTCAGGCTCAACTATCACACTTTCGCCCATGATTGAAGCGCGAAGAAAGAATATAGTGAGGTGCTTAAGGAAAAAAATTCAAGCATAAGAGCTCACCACTACTGGTTGCTTCGTTGTTCTTTTGGAAGCTTCCACAAGGAAGAGTAACAATAAGCTCAACACTATATATCCATGGAGGATGGAGACTTTGATGATGCAAAATCCCACCAATATCTTCCTCTGACCTAATGCACTTGACTCCAGCATTATCAGCTACCATTGATATCCTTGCAAACTGAGAATGGTAATAGCAGAGAACAAAACAAACAACTGTAAGAACTGAGCAATACGAATGCAGGACCAAAGAAAATGAACAAAGCAGTACCGCCAGGGTTCATGTTCGTTCGCCGTTGATGGCCATCCCTCGTCTGCAAATTCTTTCTCCCCCCTCACTTATTCTCTCTACTTCCTCAGTTGTCCCAAACCCGCCACGCCTTAACAAAGAACAGTGAGACATCAATTAACACAAGGGCAATAATTAAGTGATTCAAGAGATAAAGGATAATGGCACTTAGTTTTGCTATGATTAAGTGACTTTAATAGTGCTTATGGCCTGTTTGCAGTGCATTGCTGAAAGTTAAAAAAAACATTCGTGTTCCGCTTCCTAAACATCTGTGGATAACCTATTTCCTACTGACAATATCAGAAACCCAAGAGGCAAATTTTTATTGAGGCAGAACCCAAAACTGAAGAAGTGCACTCATGCAAGAGGGGAAGTGCTAAGTTAACATGTATTTGGTCATCATGCTTAGCAGGAATTGATCTTTACCACTATCTCAGGCAGTGATTGATGCTCACACTGACCCAATCGCATTGAGCCTATCAAGAAAATGAAAGAAACCAAGTTAACACCATTGACTAAAAACGAATTCAGTGTAATCAATTAACTTTAGCTGATAAAAGACACTTCACCAGTGGAAGCTACCCGGCCTCGCAGAAATTTTGTATTTAACATAATTTAACCAATAAAAGACGAAAACCACAAAATAAGCACAAATAGTCCAGAAGTTGAAATTGATATGCATTTTGGAAAACACATAGAACGAAAAGCACTTGCACCTTCAATTTCCTTGTGGAGCTGCTTACGATGCTTTGACCAGAGTTACTTCTTGATTGACAACTCATTCGTTCGTCCTTCCTAAGATCTGAATTTAGTGTCCAAAATATCATGATTAAGTTCTACTGACACTTAGAGTGAATCAATGGACTCCTTGAGATTAAGACCACAAAATGAAATGGCAAAAATGAGAAAAGGTGGAAGGAAAATGCACTCATCAAAGAAAATGGATCCGGAAAAAGGCGGGAGTAGAGGTTGAGACTCATTTCGAGGCAAAAGAGGCCTTACCCTGGGCGCTTCAGCTTTGTGTGGTATAGTAGAGTGATGTCCATAGCTTTCTAAGCGTATGGGTGTTCCTCTCTTCCAACTGGGTAAAAAGAATAAGAAAGGTAAGCACAAAAGCAGATAACAACTAATCCACCAACAAAATCAAATGCTGAATCAAATCCCCATATGAGCTTTCTAGATTGAAAAGTGATCATATGGACTACACTTCTACATTATATCTTTCTAAACGTAATTACAGAACCCAGCACACAAATAAATCATTCCCCCTTCGCAGATTTAGATGTTAGTGTAAAGGACAAAGTTAGCATGAAAAGCAACAACGATAAACCATATACATAGAATGAAGGGAAGAAGTTTCATAAAAGAGATAAAAGTAAGGAATGAGTAGTTGGTCACAACCTTTCCTATTGAGCTCTGCAGGCATGTATTAACAGGCTTCAAAAAGTGTGATTAGTGGGGTTTACATCGTCGCGACATTGTTGTTAGATGGAAGAAATACACACACAGAGAGGGGCAGACAAAGAGAAGCGATTCGATGATTCGAAATAAAAAACCAGAAGGCAGATGGAACATAAAAAATAAAGAATAGAATGGCCAGAAACCAACCGTATGTTCTTCAGTGAGGTCCGTTTGCCTTTACGGTCGTTATGTCATTTATCTCTTCATTTTCACCTTGTCTTTTCTTCTTTCTCTTCGTCTTCTTCTTCTGCTTCCTTTCCTCCTGCCTTTTGTTCTTCATTTTCTTTGCCTATGAAAACGGTGAGATCAGATCAATCTAGGGTCTGTGTTCTTGTATTTTTGGGTGAGAATTTCTTAAGAGAGAGTCAATAAATATGAATTTCCACAAAGAAAACCATACCTATCGATGCACAGCACCGACGTCGGGTTCACTCACAACTCTGTTTCCAGCCTCGCGTTGCCATCTTAATACCGCCGTCACCGCGCTACCACCAGACAAGTGTTGCCCGTCCCCCATCACCGCTAAGGCCCGAGCCTTGAACAACAAATTGGAGCCGACATATCCCTCATGTCCGTTGGCAAAAACACAACAAACAATCACGAAAGGGATAAATCATACAAAGATGTATGTGGAAGAATAAAAAAAACATTTATCCCGCAACTGAAAAACTTGGACATGCAGGGCATCAATTTAAACTCGGAGAGCGATAAATGGCAGCTCACCAGACTCAATTGTTAGCACGACCACCAACACAAAAATGGATTGCCAATCAAGCTCTTTCCTTCTCACCCTACTCGTCTCGTACTCCTTGTGCTCAAGTTCAGAGTTCCTGCAGATGTTATTGGGAAAACCTTTTCCATTAAATCCCAATTCATAATGATCCCAGGGTTTCCCCCTTCCCCACCACTGCCATGGTTGAAGCTTTTCACTTTGATCCGTCTTAGTTGTACGACAGTGAAGAATAATAATAGAACATAGCAAAATCCAATTCCAATGAAAATGAGTGGAGAAGGAGAGTTACTGGCACGTCGATCCTATATCACTATTTCTATCAGGCCTCGTTTGGAAAGGGAAAGAAAAAGATGACCAAGGCATAATGCAGACACGCAGAAAGCAGAGCTTCAATTCAAATCAAAGTATTTGAGAACCAAAACAAATGTGACTTCTCAACTTATCAATACAGGGGGCTGGTATCATCACTGTGTCTACAGGTCACTAATGCATAAACTAAAATGTTACCCCAGGGCTCATAGACAGGAAGCATAACACTCGGGCACTGCTATCTTAGGCATGAACCGGTGGAGTAACTATAGATCCCTTCCCACAGATACTATGAAGGTTGCGAAGGAACCAGAAACACATTATACTATAGATGCAACACCAACAAACACTGGGAAGTCTGAGATAAGTAGGGATACAAAGACCTGCGGTGTTGAAGAACATATATATTCAGTGATCTAATCAGTCGAGAAAGGAGCTGAAATAAAACAACAACCTAAAGTACAAACAGGCAGGGAAAACACAACAAATGAGAAAAGCAAGAAGAGTTTGTAGTGTCGGCTAGACTTGCGCTCGTCCATGTCTAGCATAAGTGTTTATAGTAAACAAAACAGAATATTAATATGTTGCTAACAACATACAGAGGGCCAACAATGATGCTAGCAAAAAGTCAAACTGCATGGGGTTGAAACTCAAGATTACTCTAGAGAACGTTTGAATCCCATGTAGTTGATACATCGAATGTGATCTGTTAAAAGCAATGCAAGAAGGAAAAGTAAGCAAGAGTGAACTTTACAAAGAAGCAAATGTGCAAAGATGCAGCAAGAGAGCAAACTTTGGTGCTATCAGGTTCCAATGACGAAGTTGTGTAAGGAAGGGGCAAATTCATCCAATCTTATTGGAGGGAACCAGTTGCAAAGTGGAACTCAGTTACATTACCTGGTCAGTTGTAGCCTGTAGGCGTGGCCTCGGTACACTTTCCTCGACCAACGCACAATCTCTAGTTCCCTCTGACAGCAAGCAACCAGTTCCACTATTCAACTGACCATAAAAACAAAGCAACCTTAGCTGAGGCAGAAGCCTCCAATGGCAAGCAGAGTGGCACTTGCACAACAAAACTTCAGCGTCAGAGGAACGATAATTCTGCATAAATGAGCAACAAAAGCAGCTGGGATGAACTAATAGTAAAATGAAAATTAGGAACTAAAAACAGTAAAACACCCAGATTCGTGCAAGTGAGCAATACCAATCAAAGAAAACTTGATTAGAGTAACTCAACCACAAACGAACCCAAAAATCTCTGAAACCCGTTTTTGTGGAAATAGAAAACACAAAAAAATGAACAAAGTTAAAAAAAACACATACCCTATTTTCTACCAAGATCGTGGAGAAGGCCTGCGAACCAACTGATGCTAACTGTGCACCGGCGACCCATGAATCGAGAGATCCTTTGATCGTCTTGAGGGCATCGCTTCGTGAATGGGACTTCTCTCCTACGTGACCTTCATCATCGTTCAGGTCTTCTTCTTCGCAGAGGCCCCCGATGGCAAGCAGAGAGGTACCTGCACTCTACCTAAATGAGCAAGAAAAGCAGCTGTGGTGAAATAATAGTAAGAAGAAGAATTAGGAACTAAAAACAGTAAACACCCATATTCGTAAGCAACACCAATCGAAGAAAACCTGATTAGAGTAAGTCAACCACAAACAAACCAGAAGAAAGGCTCTGAAACCCATTTTCGTGGAAATAGACAACACGAAAAAGGAAAAATTCAACAAAAAAAAAAGACATACCCTATTTTCTACCCAGACCGTGTAGAAGGCCTGCGAACCAATCGGTGCTAACTGGGCGCCGGCGATCCATGAACAAAGAGATCCTTCGCTCATCTTGAGGGCATCGCTGACTTCTCTCCTGCGTGACCTCCATCATCATTCGGGTTTTCTTCTTCTTCCGCCGCCGCCATGCCCAGAACAAAGTAGTAAAAGAAGAGGAGATGCTGGGGCAAAAAATCAGACAAGTGAGATTTGTTTGGATGAAAAAACAACAGATTTGATCATCATCCTCTCTTGTTCTTGCGCTGTGGAGGAAGGGTTGGATGGATATGAAGAGAGAGAATGGGGAGGGAGGGAGTTTTCTGGGGGATTGGGGGAAAGAAAGGAAATGAAAAGGAGAGAGAGGGAGAGATACGGATGAAAGTGAAGAAAGGAAAGCAGTGATGTGAATGAATTTCAGAAAAGAAATTGAAAAATACAAAGAAAGCAGGGAGAAGTGATGGGGAAGTGACTCTCCCAAACACAAACCCAAAGCTAATTTTAAAAAAAGAAAAGCAAGTCAAGCGGGTAAGATTCGTTCCCAACCGCTAAGTAGAGAAGCGGGTAAGATTCGTTTCCCGGCTTAAAATTCGGCAGCACGGAACCGGGTTGATTACACATGAATCTATATGTCAATTGTCGCGGAAATAATTTTAAGTTTTAAACACATAAATCTAGACCCGACCCAATTCGCTAATTACAAAAGCGAGTAAAATTCATTCCCGATTGGTAAGTAGAAAAGCGTGTAAGATTAGTTCACAATCCAAAATTTGGCAACACTGGTCCGAGTTGAATCTGTGTCAATTGTGACGGAAATTATTTTAAGTTTAAAACATATGAATCCAGACCCGACCCAATTCACTAAGTACAAAAGCGGGTAAAATTCATTCCTGGCCGGTAAGTAGAAAAGCGTGTAAGATTTATTCACAATCCAAAATTCGGCAACACTGAACCGGGTTGAATACACATGAATTTGTGTCAATTGTCATGGAAATAATTTAAAGTTTAAAAACACATGAATCCACACCCGACCCAATTCGCTAATTACAAAAGTAGGTAAGATTCGTTCCCGACCCAAAAATCGACAACACTGGAATCGAATCCAATTAGGTTGAACACAAATGAATTTGGGTTCAATTCTCATAATAATTAATACTAGGTTTTTCTTTGCCCGCGCTCTGCGCCGGGATGGGTGGAAAAATTAAGATATTGTATTTTGATGTATATATAAGCTTGATCCTATTGAGGTTCTATTCTAAGATCATCGATAGTTGTTCAGGCTGAAATAGCATGTACATTGGGAATTCATATCGATCCCAGAAAAGCTACAAAATTTGTGATATACCATCTATTAATGGAATACACATGCCTTGGCTTCTTAGAGCCATATAATATCCTAGGAGACTTGCACAAAAGTTGCTGAGAAGCATAGTAGTAAATACACAGAAGTACATTAAGTCCTAAACTGTTTGAAATTGTCTCTGAGATAGTCAGTGCAGGTAGATGGGGAATCTGTGCCTGATAGTTATTTGTACAATAATTTCCAAGGAAACTGATGATCACTTGTCAAAGGTTGAGGTGTTCCACAATGTTGCCACTCTTATTTGTATGCGAGCTGGAGGATCTGTGGAGTTCATATTTGGCCACCCAATGTATAATTGTCCTGCAAACACCTTCGCACAATTTTTGCCAATCATTGTTTTGATTGTTTCCTTCTCCAGCTTGCGATATCTTCCAGGTGACATACAAATGATTGACAGAGCTGCCTCATGATCCATTATGACCTCCACTTCGCCTGAATCGTCACGTAACATTGCTTGAATTTCATAGTGGGGTCTTACAATTAGAACAAATGTGTTAGTTATGTTGAAAATGTTTTCTAAGTCAAAGTCAAAGTTTGTGCAGGTGTAGTGGAACTTACTCTGGCCTTTGCTGGGTGGTCCTGCAAATGCTCCTTCGGTACCAAACTTGAGGGATAGTAAATTTGCAACGATAAAGGATCGGTAATATTTTTTTGTCAAGTAGGAGTGATTAGAGAACTTAGTTTTCATTTTTATCTTATCTATGGAGCTGCTTAAGGGTGGCAACGTACCTTTTGAGCAGTTGGTTGACCACCAAGTTCTGCTTTGATCTCACTCAGAGTCTTCTTTGAAGGTTGTTCAGAATGCAGGTAGCCGATCTTTTCCTTTTTGATTGGATCGAAGTAAGTCACTGGTTGCGTCTTGGAAGGAATCTGCAATGGTGTATAAACCACTTTGTAAGCAATGGTTTTTTTACCTTTTTTAAAGATAGCACTTAAAATTTCAATCAAATATCTGTTCATGTTCATGATTTCCTTGGAGCATCTTTGTATGATCTTATGATGAGGTGACTGGCTGCTGTTGACACAAACCGATATTGATACTTCTGGTTGTCTGGAGGAGGTAAACTCATTACATTAGTTATTGTGGTGATTAGAGGAAGGTGTGACTCAACTGTCGGTGCTATCTTCAGGTATTCGATGATGTCCCAACCGCAGTAATTAACAATAGCCTTTGCACCACTGATTTTAGGAATATATAAGTAAACTTGCATATGTCTGTTCTGAATATATTGTAATATACTTGCTGAAGTTACCTCACATCTTCCATGATCACGATGAATTCCTTAAGGGTGCCCTGAACAGTTTCTGGAACTGTGACTCGTCGGATACAACCAGTGATGTCTGTAATTTTCTAATTGTCAGTGCATTTACATCTTTGTTCTAAGTGTGAAAGTAAAGTATCTAGTGGTTACCTCCATGGCAGTCATAGTTGTTTTTCTGCATTGGCACCATTGAAAAGAAGGCTGCATCGTATAAGTCCACTAGATCCTCTGGACTGTCCTCGTCTTCTTCAACATGAGAGATAAGCTTATTAGCCTTCATCATCAGTTGTAACTCTCTTGGAACTACTCTGCCCTTTGTTTTTGCTGGGACAGCTACCAGGTCATCAAGTTTATATAGGTGGCCTGATTGAAGTTTCCCATATATTTCTTCGATATCTTCCTCTTCCACATAACATTCTATCATTTGTTTCTGCAAGATTAAACATTCATAGCTCATACAGTGCCCAAACTTGTGTCATGGTAACTAATTATTTTAAATAATGGTATGGATCTGGAGTAAAACATAACGTATGGTGAGTCATTCTTTAATAATGTAAACATGTAAACAATGAACTAAATCACTTTTGTAATCTTTCATTTGTCTATAAGTTAAATGGTTGTACTCACCTTTCGATCCAGCCAAAGCATGTGTAGCGTCCTTTTCTTCCATATGTATGCCTATCGAAACTCAAACCATGTGTTTATAAGACGAGCGACGACACTGCGGTGGTTTATTCCCAAACGTATCCCTCGAAAAGTAGCGGATGATTGGAGGGTTTCTGAAATTGTGTCAAAGACGGTAGAAATAGACAAACACAAACGACATATTTTGTAGATGTATCTAGACGTTTAAAGGAACACCTATTGAGATGGAATGTGTTTACCTCGGCTGTTGCTGGGGACCATGCAATCTTCTATCGTGGTCGTGCGTTTCTGGTGCGAAGCTTCCATGGTGGTAGGGACCTTTGTTTATGAGCTGTCTTTTTGAATTGTAAATTCTGTGAGTGGAGTTAGAAGTAGAAGGCGATTTACCTTTGTTTAGGGCTTCTGTTGGTTCGTGGAGTAAACTTCAGCCGAGGATAAGAGTCTACTTCTGAAAATAGAATTTCTTTTTGTAGGGTAGTGCAGGGTCCACGATGTTAGTCAATGTTGTGAAATTGGGCCAAACCATTTATGTGGGCTGATATTTAAATTTGGCAGGGGAGGTGTATTTTCATTTGTGGCCCAAAATTGTTGTCTTGCAAAACGTTAAGGAGTCTGTCGTTTGGTGAAAACAATTTATTTGTATGTTCTTTAAAAAGTTCGATCAAAGGAGCATCATAAAATATTCTATTGTGTCATTCTGCAAGAACAGGAAGAACATGAAGAACCTGCCCATGATTCAAAACGCAAACAATGTCTCCTGCTAGTTTGTTTGGTAGGTACAATATTAAGGGCAGAAAGTAGTTTCTCCATGTGCCCCAAAAGATCGTTTTGTGTTCCAAATGACTCCTGCATTGTTGTAAAACGTGATTAGTCACTATCTCATAGACCATATTCATAAATTATCTTTGAGTAGAACATGAAATGTGTCGGAATAAACTTTAAGGCTTACCTTCATAATCATGGATGGAGAACTTAATTTCCTGTGATATCTGTGAATGCTTCTGAGAACACAATGTTTCTTGTGTGATTTCCTGGAACACCCTCTTCATTTGTTATCAGAAACCTTAGCCCAGCTGCAGATCTGACTCTGGATACGGCCACATACAATTGGCCATGACTAAATACTGGATTCAGTAGATAAATTCCAACTTTATCTAGGGTTTGTCCCTGGCTTTTGTTTATCGTCATCCCATAACATAATCGAACAGGAAATTGACGTCTCTTGAAGATGAACGGCCATTTTTTTCCCTCAATGTTGAGCACAATTCGTGATATTGCTACAGGTTTTCCATCAAAGGATCCTCCCATGATATTTCCTATGATGCTATTCTGACCCAACGACGTTATCATCAATCGTGTTCCATTGCATAAACCACTTGGGGGGCTTAGATTTCTGAGCAACCTTACTGGAGTGTTAACTTTCAGTCTTATCTCGTGATCTGGCACACCATTGAACGATAAAGTATTCAGAAACTCAGTGGGATAAGTTTCACTAAATGATTCAGGGACCTCTTTATCTAGGTGCATGGAATCGGAACTGTAGTAGCAATGCCCTTCTCCTGGCAGCTGTTGCAACATGTAATCATTGATTTCAGTAACAACAGCATTTGTTGGAGTCACAATCACTCTTCCTTCTAGGTACTTTGTGTCTTTATAGCAATCTGCAAATGATTCATATATTTCTTCTGTTATTGATTGAAGTGGATTTTTTCCAGGAATCACCAGAAATATTTCTGGTATCTCAATCCAGTCTGAAGGAGTGTTCGAACTAAAGGAGTTTGTATCCAACTTTCCATCTCCAAGAGCGAGAATCCATTCTCCAAATTTAAGGCCACAGGCTACTATCACATTGTTTTCTTGTGAATCATTTAGTCTCATATTCTTTGAAAGTCTTAGCATCTGAAAAGAATTCCACAATGGTGATCTTGTGATTGATCCATCAACTCTCTGTTCCCTTCCTGAATCTGCAATGACAGGTAAAGTTTGCCTGAAATCTCCACCTAAAATAATTGTTTTACCCCCAAATAGTTTATGTCCTGTTCCAGATAGAGGAATCTCCATCAGATCACAAAATGTCCTGCTAATTGCCTCAAATGCATGTCGATGTGTCATTGGCGCTTCATCCCAAATAACTAATGAAGCCTCGCATATTAGTTCAGCTAAATGTGTACCCTTTTTTATAGAACATGTCGATGTGTTGTCCAAGTGGAGTGGGATCTTGAATCTAGAATGAGCAGTTGTGCCATTTGGAAGTAGTGTTGCTGCAATTCCAGAGGAAGCAACAACAATCACTATTTTGGACAAACTCTTGAGCTTTGTGATTATTGCATTGTACAGGAATGTCTTGCCTGTTCCTCCATGTCCATATAAGAAAAAGGACTTCCCTAGATTGTTGTTGATTGATAGCATCATCGATGAGAAAGCTTCAAATTGATTTGCATTGAGTGCGCAAAGCATTTCCTCTGCAGCTTGTTGTTCCTGAGTAGTGTCAAAGTTTAAATGTTGGTTTATCAGGGGATTTGAACCATCATCAGGTTGTGAATCTGTTGGTTTAGGAAGGTGGAAATGTTCGAGGGAGGAACCATAAGATCCCAATAAGGTTTCCAGTTGATGAAGCACCCAATTTTGCAGTCTCTCCTCTGAGGGCTGATATGTGTTTGAATGAAGCTGCTTTCGAAGATAATATGCATGATCTTCACCCATAAGTCTCCAAGACGACTCGAACAAAGCAGTTGGATTAGGTATTTCACAAAACATGAGCATTGAAATAAAGGTGCTCCTTATCAGATTTGGCATGCTTGAAGTTGATATTTCCTGAAGAACCTTAATCCATTCTGAAGAATCAGATAAGAGACCTAATTTTTCACACGCTTTTTCATAAGTACTGCAGAGCTCTCCTCGAACAGTCCTTAAGTCATTAAAGCTGGTTGCTCCTTGTACCTTTGTCAAAAATAGTCTAAGGAAAAAGACATCACTGCTTCCTGGAGGAACATAAGCAATTCTTCCAATGGCAAATCCTCTTTTCCTCAATGTCCACTCATTGTATTCTTCATCCCATGTGTATGAACCTGGTATCTGAGCATACGTTAGCTTTCTAGCATCAGGGTCCTGTCTATTAAGTTGAAACCAAGCTGTCAGATGTGTTTTGCCAGCTCTGGGATTCTTCAGAATGTTTTTCACACTTGATTGCCTCTTATAAGAAACATTTTGTTGCCCTTGCAAGTGTACTGCAAGTCGGACAACATTTGGTTCCCTATGATGAATAGAATATTCATTGATTCTCCAGACAGCTTCATAAGAGGATAAGGATCTACAATCAATGAATTCTTGTATTTCATCTTTTGACTTCTTTGAATTTGTGGAGGGAACTTGTTTTGAAGTCACTGAATCTTCAGCAATAATGAGGGATCTATCTGGTCCTTTAGTGATATACTTAAATAAGTATTTCACCAATCCTCCTTTATGACATATCTCAACATTAATGTGAGCCTGAGCTCTAACCAGTAAATTCCTGTTATATGGAACGACATATCTATTATCCAGCATAACTTTTCCTTTTTTCACTTGTACTCCAGAATTTCTACGTCGATAGACTACATTTCCAAACTTGTCAAATGAAGTTTCAGTGCTGAATGCTTTGGGGAAGAACTTTGAACACTTCCCATCTTTCATGCAAGGTGATTTAGGGTTGTCAATTCCACATGGTCCATGAAGCATGAACTTGACCACAGCTGCATATCCTTCTGGATCTACATGAGGATCTGGAATCTCTCTGAAATCATCTCATCAATGTCACTGGTTGTTTTTAGTTTATCCTCTTTGGCTAACCATATCAGCATGTGTACATGAGGGAGGCCTCTTTTTTGAAATTCGACAGTATAAATAACTGGAGAAAAGAATTTGTGTATCCATTAGCACTTTGTAACACTCACTGCAAGTTTATAAAAAAATATCATGTCTATTTGAGTATTTGATAATATAACCTGCACTAACTGACACAAAACTAGTGGTAGAACTAATATGCCTGTATTAGTATTTACCAGCACACTCTTTGTAAATGATTACTGGGCTGAAATATGGTTCTTGAATGTCAAAATATGCATAACATAAAAGCAAGTATAAAACACTTACTTGCTATTGTTTTGCCAAAGTACGATTCTCGTTTGAATTCATCAATGAGCTTGGTCAGTTTCATATGAAATACCCGACAAACGACCATTGGCTTCAACTCACTGTTCAAACCCACCACATCTTCCCAAAGTGCATTACACGTAAATGTAATGAACAAATCAGGATTTCCATAGTGCTGACAGGTTGCCATGGCATCGTGATAAAGTTGTTGCATATATCTAGGTCCTCCGGTGTACGAAGAAGGTATAATAATACGACCAAGTTTCTCACCGTCCATATCTCCTCTAGCAAATGCATCTTCCAAACCTTGATACACTTCAGATCTCAGGTCCTTTTGATGGGTTCTAAGGAATGCCAATCGATTGAGCTCTATTGTTGAAAATGCATCAACACAATAGTGTTGTAGCGCTTTTCCACTCTTGACCAACGTATGGCCTTCACTTATCCGATACTGAAGCCTAAAAGCATAGTATTCTCTTTGCGTAACAAACTTCCTGCGCATTGATGGAGGACAGAAGGAAATGTTATATGAGATTTGGGGGTGAAAACCATCCTCTCCATAAGGAAATAATAAAGGAAAGTGCAGCGCTTCAAATTTTGGATTCAAACTTGTTATTCGCTTCAATCCTCCATTTTGATAATCTACAATGATATCTCTGTCTTCTCTATCGGGAACAAAATCTCCCGGTATCAAGGCTGCAACATCACTGCTAGTTGGAAGATCGTATTGTCGATTCCTACTTTTGATTCCAAATATTCGAAGGCGTAGATTTGGTGTTGAAGACAATTGTAGATTCTGCCGGATGCGTCTAAATGTCTTCACCAATTCATTTGTTTCATCAAGCATCCTGAGTAAAAAATGCCAGTAACTCAGGTAACAACACCTCTTCTCGAGTTGAAAAGTTTGCTAATCTATTGTCAACCTCACTATCAGGTTCAAAGATATATAGCTGAGCAAACTTTGGTCGTTCTCCTTCAACTGGCAGCAAGGAACCAATTCTATGATAGTTCTCTCCGCATATCACCATCGAATAAGGTCCTCGACTTGTTAGAGATCGAGGATCCAGTTTTGCTCCAAAAGATGTGAAACATAACGACCCATTATAAGGCCTTATATTTTCTCTAAAATGCTTTGATAATGCTCCACCATTGATGTCAAGTAACTGGGCAAGAAGGGGAGGTGGCTGCTTCAATAATGGGAGCTTCACTCTTCCTTTTTGACAACACAGAGTATACACCGGAGTAGCTGTCTTTCTATGACGATCCAATCGTTCATAGTACCAAAACAATGCCCCACAGAACCGACAAACACATTCTGGTTTTTCAACATTCAGTATATCATTATGCAGTGGTTTTCTTGCAGTGCAAACCTCTTTGCTGGCAAAGCCAGATTTCTTCTTCAGCCCATTACTTGGAGGATTCTGCCTTGAGGTTTGACCTTCCATGTGTGTTGTGTAAGGGTCCCTAGGAGTTGTAATTGTGGAAATGTTTCCTGAAAGCTCTGTATCTTCAACCGAGAGCATAAAAGGAAGCTGGCGTGATTTCTTATTAATCCTTGTGTTGTCCATCAGAACTTGCGGAAAAGAAGATGGCGTGTCATCAGTGATTCCAGAACTTAGAGAATCTCCATTCAACTTTCGTTTTAACACCTTGTTAGTTGTTGGCTTCTTTCTTGGTGTCATGCTGCATTAATGTAGTAAAAACAGAAATTATTGAAGTTTCCCTCACATGGAAACTTCGATGCGCAATAATGGTAAAGAATGGATGGCAACCAAGTCTGCAGAATGAATAAGAGACTGCCAAACTAATGAATGACATACAGACTAATCTAGGAATGAATGAATGAATGAACCTCAGAATAACTCACATGACTATAGATTCTATGAGTTCTGCAACATGATATAGGAATATTCCAAGCTTAACTGTTTCTCTGCAGAAGCCCTGGTGTATTTATGGCAGTTAGGAAAGGAAACTGTGAGAATCATAGACTTGAGCAGGAGAAGCACTGTTTGAGAATAAATGGATGATATCAATTTTGCTCTTACTAAACTACTTTTTTATATACCCCCATGTAATCATTGTAAATCTGTTTGGTACATAGCATTAAATGAAAATTGATAGGTGTCAGTAATACTCAATACTCAATTGGTGACATAAGCATATGCTAATGAAAGCAATGATGACCTGTTAGCATCACATAGATATACTTTCATCTAATTTTCTATAATCACCAAAAGAGCATCAATTAGTATAATTTTTACTGTCAAAGTTCGATTTTCAAATGTTAGATTTAATTTACCACAAACATTTGAGATCAAAATATAGTTTAATAATGTAGGATGTGGTAGAAACATTAGATGTACACACTTCACAAACAAAATTCATTATGGACATAGATGCACACACTTCGCAAACAAATAATTTCATTATGGATATTTGGTTGATGAAACCAAGCATTTGACACACCTTTGCCAACAGAAAGACAAAGCACACAAAACAACAGAGATACCCTAACTGATACTTAACCGATATCCAGATTTATACATGATTACATTATGCCAGTACCTGCAACCATTACCAAAACATACTAACAGAAATCCTACACCACCACATATTTGAAACCAGAATCCTAGTAGTTACAACCTTCACACTACCAAGCTGCAAGAGAGTTGACCAGAATATTCACAAAACAACAGTCTATTTCAGTTCACTGATACATCAAAGATCAATAGGATGATTGGGAAGACAGACATGCATCAAAGAAGTCCCCCAAAAGTTCCATGAAGAAGCCATCCAACACAACACCCTGAGAACTTCCGATTTCCCAAACACCTCCAAAAGAGGATTTGGCACCTTCAAAAGCTAACTTCAAAGCACCAGCAATAACTCCCTCGAGCTCCAAACGTGATCCTACAAAGTAATATAGACAAACAAAATTTTGTTCATGACAAACCAATCCTGGGATGAGATTGCACGATAACAGAACACTGGAATTTTGGATGCAATGTTGTAAGCACACCCAATACCTTATTTCTCGTACAGGAGACGCTTGGCCGAGGATTTCTTGACAGATGCCTGTGGCGAAGCTATGTTCTCAAGCGAGAAGGCTGATGGACTCTGAGCAGGTTCGTCGGAGCTTCCACTTTCAGGTCCCCTAGATCCTGAAGATTCCAGTTTTTCAACCTTCACCTTTGCCAGCGGTGACACCAACCTGGATCATTTGAAAGGAATCGGATTAATATAAAAAATAAAAAAGGTCACATTCCAGCACAGTTGCAGAATGATATAGTAACCAAAACGGGTTACAGATTTGCAGACGGGGATGAAGAGGGTGTTGATGTAGATGATGTCTTGCTAATTTTACTCTGAGGAGTTCCAATCTCTTCCATGACTGTACCCGATGAAGATAATGACTTACCAACCTTACTTTTAGGAGTCCCAAACTCCTTCCCAACTTCACCCGTTGAAGGCAGAGAGGGTTGCTCACACGAACTCATTGAATCAACAACACTACCCTGCGGCAAAGATGGCCTAATTTCAGGAATTTTTTTATCACCAACAAACCCCAGACAAACAGGGTCTGGTGAGCCTGCAGGAACTCCAAGGATTGGATTCTGAATTCCGAGAACAGCTGACACAGAAGGCTGTTTGGCAGGTACAGAAGAAGCTCTGATGGTAATGGGTTGTGATAACGTTTGAGTTCCCAAAGGCACATGACCAGCACCCCCCCCCCCCCAGCGACCAACGGACCTTGATACCTACTGTAAAATGAGACAAGATCGATCAGAAATTACCCAGGCAACGTGAAATAAAAACAACTTAGAAATTCAAGAAATAACCTGAGAGGCTGGCCTACTGACTGCCCAATCTTGAAAGTTGGATTGCTGTTCTCAAACAACAGTGGTCCAGAAACCTTTGCCTTGCCCTTGGTCGAACTGGCAAACAACAAAAACAACCAGTTCTGAACTCACAACCCAAACATCAACAGGAGGTAATCGTCAGGAGACCATCAAAACACTGAAAGGGAAATTTCAAACCTTGATGGAGTAGACAAAGAACTGCTCACATGTAATGATTCAGTTGGTCCAGTCAACATAAGCACTCCACATTGTTCAGTCGTGCCTTGCAAAGCAAGCTGACCCTGGGTTCCATCAGTAATTGTCTTCACTGGAGCAACAACAGTGGGTAGTAGACCCTGATTATCCTGAGGAAGCACTCGGAACACCCTGAACTCTCCAGTGGATACTCCATTCGCACTCATCATAGGAAGCTTAACTTCAAACCTCACAAACTGGCCTATCAAATTACTCAGCTCAGGTGGCAGCTGGCCAGTTCTATGAGGACATCTCTGAGCAAGTACATGGGCAGACGTGAACACCAGATTATTACCAGCTGGCCCAAAAACAATAAAAGGTGCTTCTCTTGTCGAGTCACGCAAGACTAACTGAATCTTGTACCTATATAACACAGGGAACACATTCAGAAGTCTTTATCCTAAAGCAAACCAGGCAAAGAAACATACAACGTTTGCAAAAAAGGAAACACAGTGTATACCCAATAGTAACTTGCTGGTCAGATATTTCCCAATGATCAGGACACCAATAGTTTCCATTCCTCCATGTAGAACACTTTTTCCTACACATATTACAGGAAGTATAGTACCATGGACTTCGAGACTCAACAGATCTAACAATTCCACCACAACGATGCTTCTCATCCTATTAAAATTTTAAAATAAGATACATTGGTCAAACCAAGACCAGACAAATTTGCACATAATCTGAAGCAACAGACACGATAACAGAGAGAAATATGCATACCACCGAAGCACCAGCACGGTACAAATCATGGAGTTCAAGTCTGGTCCTCGTGCGACGATCAACATCTGCAAGAGCAGCCTCATGTGTAGCAAACTGAATGGGAAGACCTGCAACAGGATTCCGTGCTCCAGCAAAGCTACAACAGAAAAAAAAAAGATTAGTAACAGAACAAAGAGCAACAAAACTTCAAAGGGCTGATCAACAAACTCACAAAGTAGTCAGACTGTAGGCCTCAGGAATGCGAGGGCTAACAACTATGCGGGTGGCAGAAGAGCTTGAACATGTGTACTCACCTTCTGCAAAACATGAACAAACAGAGGGAACATAAAAATCTCCCCACACAATGTTTAACAACCAAAATGCCAAAAAGTACAAACATTACCAATCAAACGGCCAACCATGAGGCTCCCAACCGCAATAATCACAGGCTCAATGGAATCTGCCTGAATCAAAGCAACACTGTCCAGGATCGTGGTTAATTCATTCCAGAGTGTGATCGAAACTCTCTGGCCCCTAAAACAACAAAAAAATTAAGTTAAAAAACAAACCATGACCGAAAGGAAACCTCAAGGAGCAGAGGAAAAAAAAACATACTCAGCGTTTTCAAGGACCAAAACTTGTTTTGGAGTGGATCCATGATTGGTAAGTTGATGATCAACCCCACTGATAGAATGGAGGCGCCCAACAACATCTGATGTACAGGGCCAGAAGGAATGATAAACACAAAGAGTGAGAACAAACCAGATATATATTATATATTATAAATAATAATAATAATACAACAAAATTGAAAGGAATGAAAGCAAACGCACACAACACCTGAGAGGATGCGATTATCACCAGCACGCTTTGGGAGCTCACTGAATGGCACAGACTCAAAGGATTCGACAGGAAAATCGGCAGCAGGAAGAACACAGGCCTGAAAACTTGTGGTCTTTGACAATTCCATGATAAGATCCAAAGAGCATGCACGATAAAGATTCCTTGCTACGGCAAGACCAAAAGCCCGAATTATGTAGATAGTCCCAACACGCAGAACACCTTCGAAAGCATTTCCCAGAGAAACATCTGCAATACTTTGTATGAGCATGCCCTGCATGCAAGCATCAGATTCCATGGACAGCGAGTCAACACGAGAACAAAATTGGTAAAAAGGTAAAAAAAACGGTTAAAGAGTTAATCTTATAGTACCGTTTGGTCCACCCAGAGACAACAGTGATTGAATACCCTGGATCCATCAGGATTCTTCGCAAACCACATATGAAGCAGACGCAGACGAAGAATAACATCTCTACTGGGACCCTTGAGATTGCACAACAACACCGCATCCATAATAATCCCAGGTACAGGGCAAGAACCCCGTCGAAGAACCGATGCAGAACAAAAGAAGCCCCTAAACAGCAGACGGATGAGAAGAGAAACAATCAGAACAAGAAAATGTAAGCGAGAAAGAACCCATGAGGTGAGAGAAAACCGCTTAAATACTAAAGTGGAAAAACATAATGGTGAGAGGATTTCCAAGTAGAGAGAGTCAAACAGTGACAGCCGCCCAAGCGCAGCCCATCCCTGCAATTGATGTGAAAACAATCGATAAGCATGCCCAGGCGAACACCCCTCTCAGCTCAAATTCCAATTGGAAAAAGTGACATGACCTCGATCAATCAACCGAGCAAATCTTCTGAACACCTTCATCATGAGCGAAAACCTCAGGTTTCAGAAGGAACAGCCCCAAGCCACATGCAAAACCACTGAGCAACAAAGCCTTCCAGTCCCCCAGCCACCCATGGCCCACCATCTCCGAGCCTCCCACCCACTAATCCGTCGATCACCTGCAAATCCCGGCTGAAATCCATCCAATCAAGCAACTGGGTAGGCTCCAGCCACCGAGAGGGCCCTGGTGACCAACGCGTCCGTGGACCACAACCGATCCAGCAGACCAAAACAGCCCAACGACCAAGTTCCATCCCAACTGACCCGCCAAACACCCGTCCGATCCCAAAGAGCCCCCACCCAACGCCAGCCCACACAGCGCCAGCTTCCGGGTTATAACAGTACATCCCGGTCAGCATGAGCAGTAAAAGCAGTCTGCGTGTGCAGTACCAGGTCCTGCGGTGGGATTTATTTCTTTCAATTTAAAACATTTGGTTAATAACTAAAAAAGTTTAACAATAAAATATTTATTGTTGGTGTGACTGCTTTTCTTCCCAAGCTTCTTTGTCACTTTTTCCTTCTTCAGCCGAGAAAGGAAAGGAGGGTGGGTTGGATGAGAGAGATGATTGAGAAATGAGAAGATGATTAGAGTGGAAGAAGAAAACGTAACAAAACAAAAAAAATCTAAAAGGCCACTAATTTTTGTTTAATTACAGAATGGTCACCTTTTAAACATTAAAGCTTTGGTTAATTACAAAAATAGTACCTAGTGTGATGTGACTCTACCAAAAGTAACATGTAGTTTGTTCTTTTAAAGAGATAATAACCCAAAATTCGTTAACACCGAGGTCAACTCGCTTTCGATTTATTTTGGCTGAATTTGAGTTAAATTATACCTTAATGACACAATTGTTAAGAAAATATTCGCTTTAACCGGGTTGAATTAGGTGGAATACCTATTGAACACATTGTTGATAAAATATTCGTCAACACCGGGTTCGACTCGTTTTAACCGGGCCGAATTAGGTGGAATACCTATTGATTTGGGTTCCTCGACCCTAAATTCGTTAACACCGAGTTCAACGCGCTCTAACCGGGCCGAATTAGGTCGAATGGGCATTGATAAGTGTACAAAATGGCGCTAAAACTCATTGTTGAAAAAAAATCGTCAACATCGGGTTCAACTCGCTTTAATCGGGTCGAATTATTTGGAATACCTATTGATTTGGGTTCCTCGACCCAAAATTCGTTAACACCGAGTTCAACTCGCTCTAACCGGGTTGAATACCCATTGATAAGTGTGCAAAACCTGAAAAAATTTCAATATCGGGTTCAACCTGCTTTCAATTGTACCTTCATGGCACAAAACTCATTGTTGAAAAAAAAGTCGTCAATATCGGGTTAACTTGCCTTAACCGGCTTGAAGTAGGTCGAAGTTAATTGATTTGGGTTCAACTTGGATTCAATTGTCATAAGTTAATTAATTAGTATCTTAATGTGAAACACTCATTCAAGCTTTGGTTAATTACAAAATGACAATCTCTTGTGACGGGACACTATTGCTATGCAATAGTAGGACACTCCAAAAGTGTCAAAAACCATTTGCAAGGCGGAGACCAAAAAAAGTAGTAAAACGACCGTAACCGTGATCGGTAAGCGGGGAAAAGAAAAAGTCATTGAGTTCAACTCACTATATATAGCGTGTAAAAGTCGTAGTAAAACTCGCTTACTCAGGTTCAACCCACTAATTGAAGAAAGTAAAACCCTTTGTCGGGCCAAAATTTGTAAAAAGTGAGCTCAACTCGCTTTACTTTGGTCGAATTAGGTCGAGTTCCCTTTGACTTGGGTTCAATTAGGACTCAATTGTAATAAGTTAATTGATTAGAACCCTAACAGCATCAAAGTAATTGATTAGAACCTTAATGGCATTAAATCCCTTCAAACCTTTGGTTAATTACAGAATGATCATGTTTGTGATGGGACACTATGCAATAGTGTTTTGTTACTTGTTCTTTTATAGATATAATAATAATAATAATAATAAATAATAATATCGCATGAAAGGTTCCATCAACAACGATTAATCGTTAAACCATGCATAAACCACAAATTTTTTTCTTTTCGATTTAGCCGACTCATCTGGTTATGTGGAAACAGAGGTTGCAAGTTGGCAACTATATGATTGAGTATCTCTAGTGTGAAGGCAAGGTTAATAATATACCTAATACAAGAGTGAAGGGCGAAGAAACCCAAATCCATCAAGCCAACCAACCCATTCATGCAAGTAATTGCATATATACATATATGCAATTATATGTACCCATTTGCACATCTTTCATTCAAACCACCTTGATCGTGATCGGAGATGGCGATGAGTCAAAGAAGTACCGGTAGTAGCTTTCGCGGCGGACGGGGAGGAGGATTCAACCTCTACGGCCGGCAAAGGCAACTCCCTCAGCCGCGACCCTTCCGTCCTCCGGCTCCGGTGACTCCTCCTCCGCCATCGGAGGAAACGTTTCAACCCAAAGCGGTAACCGAGGAGCTTCATGATGATCATCACTCCCCTTCCTTCCTTCTCCGCCTCCTTCTCCCCGGTAATTAGTTTATCTAACTCCTCATCATTATTATTATTCTATATAGCAATTTATGTATGAGAAAATTTTTTGGAAAGAAAGTGGTGAAAGTAGCATACATGCAGATCTCTTCCAACAACGCGGGTTATATTGATATTTGAAATCAGTTGGTTTATGACATGGTATCATAGTTGGTTTGTTCTTTGATGTCACGTGTTCAAGTCTTCACGACCCCACACTATTTATCGTCATCTCAAAGCACACAATGGTATGGCTGGACATATGCAAACTTCAAGCTAATGAGTTGGTTTTCGTTTGAGGTGGGCGTGTAAAGAAGTGGTTAAGTACCATGCATGGACATGTCATGACAACTCGGGTTATTGAGATCAGTTGGTTTATGACATTATTGATTTTTCGAACCATGGCGCAGGTTTCACGAGATTGGAGGATGTGAAGATTACAAACGGAACGAGTTCGGAGTCGAAGCATGTCGTTCGAGTTCAAGGGGAGCGATTCGACTCACAATCAAACAAACGCTACCGTTTCGACACCACCTTTGTTGTCCCGTTGGAGTAGGATATCTCGCCGCCGATGGATGCCAAGCTCGAGAGTGGTGGGATTCTCACCATCACCTTCCCCAAATTCTCCTCTTCTTCCTCTTGGAACTCATCCGACTCCCAGACTCCATCTCAGTCATCCTCCGACGAAGAATCGCCGCTACGTCCGTATAGTCCACCCAGAACAGACGATAAGCATGAAGGTGGAGGTAATAAGAGCGTTTCTGGCAAAAATGTGCCGGAGAAGGAGAAGGCGGCGGTTGATCAAGAGGGAGGGGAAATGACTACCCAGTACTTCCCTGCTTCTCATCAGGGTCTGTCCCCTGCATCCGACTTGATCAAGAGCACGCGTGACAGTCTTCTCAGAGATGAAACCATGGGACGAGGAAATGGCGGACACGACGGTGTCAAGGCAACGACGAAGGTGAATGCGGAGAACAAATTGGCGGACCACTTGTAGCGCAATAAAAGAGGAGAGAACAAAGGGGACAACGAGATTAAGAAAGAATCATCGCCAAGTGTAGGAGGAAGAGACGATGGTGATCATGGAGGTGGAAGTAAGAGTACCTCCGAACAGAAGGTGGCAGAGAAGGAGAAGGAGGTAGATCGAGAGAGAGGAGAAAGGGCGGGGCAAATGCAATTGGTGGCGAATATGGGAGCGGCGGTGGCCGTCATCGTTACGCTTGGAGCCTTCAATTATTATTTCACGTTCGCTTGAATGTGTTTATGTACCCAGTCTGATTGTTAAATGTCCTGTACTATATCTATTTATGACGCCTACTTCTGACAAAAAAAAAATTGTAATAAGGTTCTTAAAAAAATATAATAATATAAAAATAAAATTGATGAAAATGGTGTGCAATCACATCCCTTGTGCTTGTGGTTATCCAAGCCCATAGGGATGTAGGCCAAAGCCCAACCCCTCAAATTGCCGTTCTACATCGGACCTTGTAAACAGACCCGCACTTCCACTTCCAGTGTCGCAGTTTCATTTTACCCGCGACGCTACTGATTTGCGCTCCCCTAGAGCCCCGCCGGCGCCGGACGATCGAACAGTTCATCGTCGCTCGAAGATTGTTAGATTCGCCATAAAAACGTTGTACCGTTGATTGTTAGACTCAGAAGTCCCATCCATGCCTCTGCTTCGTCCGTCTTCTACTTCTAATTCGGGTGCCCTACTCTACTGACTTGATTGGTAGAATGCGGAGGAGTTCCATGCTGGGATGCTTGTTTGTGGGATGCGGCAGCCGGTTCTACAGCAGTCACCGCCTCCCACCGCTAAGCTCCAGGGAACCGTATTGCAGCTTGCTTTTCTTCCACCCCAACAATTCTACGCTATCGAGTAACTTCTGTTCCCTCCGTCGTTTCTCTAGCTACGCCGTCGAGCAATTCTCAGATGACGAGTACGAGTGCGACTTCGAGTCCCACAAGGTTTTCAGTTTTTTGCCTTCCTTTCGAGGGTTTCCATTTCTCCCCTCTTGTAGGTGTTTTGTGATTATAAGTTGAAATTTGATTCACTGGACACGGCCTAGTTGCACGGTTTCGATTGTGAAAGATGACTTGGTGGGATTTCTAATGAAACGTTGTTGGTGGATTATTGTGATGCCAGGCATCTTCTTCGGTGGCCAATATTGATGAGTGGAAATGGAAGATGAGCTTGCTGTTGCGCAGTGAGACTGACCAAGAGATTGTTTCCAAAGACAGGAAAGACAGGAGGGACTATGAGCAGATATCTAATCTTGCACAAAGGATGGGACTTTATAGGTAGAAATTTTGAATCTTATGTTAATGATTCCTTATATTTTCTTTCTTTAGCTTTTCCGGTACATTGTCTTCTTTTGAGAATCTACATTTTATGCTCATTTGCTATCCTAGTGAAATGTATGGGAAAGTGGTGGTTGCAAGCAAGGTTCCACTTCCAAACTACAGGCCAGATTTAGATGATAAGCGGCCGCAAAGAGAGGTAACATAGTCAAACCCTTGAATCTGCTTCATGTCTATTCTTCTGTGGAAGAAAATGATTAGTGTTCTTCTGATTTTATCGACTGGCTAGCTAACCACGTATGATCACAGCATTGAAGCTAGTAGCCTCGGTTTAGCTGCTAATTTAGTGTTGCATGTTTCCTGTACACTTGACTCGGGGATTATAATCATGTTGCCGTTATACAGGTGGTTGTTCCTCTAAGCTTGCAGAGGAGGGTGGAGAGTCTGCTTCAGGAACATCATGACAGAACTCAACTGATATCTGGAAGAGCTGATGGCACAACAGATGGCGGTAATCCTGCTGATCGTGTCGAGAGTCAGAGTCAAATGGAGAATCCAGATTCTTTCCTTGATGACTCTGTTATGGAGAAAGTTCTTCAAAGGAGGAGTTTACGATTGCGTAACATGCAGAGAGCTTGGCAGGTATGTAGTTTTCTCTCATCCTGATTTCATCTGGAAAAGGCCCTTAGAATTCATCTGTATAGTAAGCTTCCTGCTAACTATATCGGGAAAACTTGTTCCCTTCTATTATTAGAGGATTTTTCTTACGGAGCAGTAGACAACCTGAGGTGTCAACTGTCAAGGGCTGTTTGACATTATTGTTTCGATCGTTCTCCTGATTTAATCGATCACATTGATTGGATTAATTTTGGAGGTCTGTCGTCTTTGATGTTCTTTTAGCTAGTACCATGCAAAAGTGTAATTTAGTATATCTCTCTCAAGTCCTAGGACCCATTTCAAGTGATCCACGTCATTAAACTATTAGACAATCTTTCTCGCCTCTTGTCCATGGTAGCCCAAGAGTTGTTATGTAAATGTTTTTATCACCTAATTGACTTACAGGAATCACCTGAAGGCAAGAGGATGATGGAGTTTCGAAAGTCCTTACCTTCATTCAAGGAAAAGGAAAGGCTGCTTCAAGCTATAGCAAGGAATCAGGTTTGCGGATGGATCTCATGGCCTTAACTTTAGCTAACATGGGTATAAAGGTCACTTTGTGAATGATAGTTGTATAATGATGCAATCTGCGATTGTAGATATGGCATAAAACAGTTGAATGTTTATATGAAAAAGTCAGTTGGATGTTGAAAGGGTGTTTGGTATGATGGAAATTGGTGTGGAAACCAGAGATTTTGATGGTTTTACCAAATTTGTTGTTCGTAATGATTAAAAGCGAGCTTGACCAAAGGTAAATGTCTAAGAGGGGTTGTCTTGAACCCGTGTTTTGTAGAATGTGTATATTTTTAAATATCTGTGTATTTGAAATAAGGGGATTCAATGAAGTTGTTTATTGCCCCTAATTAGGTGTAAGCGAGTTTAAAATTTATGCGGGATTTAGGATCCGTGATTCTTGGAGCATCACAGAGATTGAAATCACATAAACTGTACACCTTTTTTACGTTTAGGTGGACAAGTAATTTATCTTTGGTTTACCATGTTATGGTCACTGGTTGTAGTAATATCAGGCGAAACTGGATGTGGAAAAACCACTCAGCTTCCCCAATATATATTGGAGTCTGAAATAGAATCTGGGCGTGGAGCATTTTGTAACATAATTTGCACACAGCCTCGGAGAATATCAGCTATGGCTGTTTCAGATAGAGTATCAGCTGAGAGAGGAGAGCCTCTTGGTGAATCGGTGAGTAAGTTTGCTCCAGTTAACAGGCTTGTGCCATTGGCATCTGCGGTCTTTGTCTGGAAAGTAGTATCTTCCCTTTGTTTTGAAACTTGTCAATTTTGGTGCTATACCACAACAGATATTTTCTGGTAGGTTGGTAACAAAGTTCGACTGGAGGGTATGAAAGGGAAAAACACCCATCTGCTGTTCTGTACAAGTGGAATTTTACTTCGGAGGCTGCTAAGTGACCGCAACTTGAATGGTGTGACTCATGTTTTTGTCAATGAAATTCATGAACGGGGCATGAATGAAGGCAAGTCTCATTTTCCTTCCTTTTGTTATAGTATTAAATAAAGGAATATTGTACCAAACGTGAGTTTAGGAGATTTGGGTGTTTAATGACCTAATTTTGTTAAATTGTTGTGCATTGGTTTTTATCTGCAACAGACTTCCTACTGATCGTGCTCAAGGACCTACTTCCTCGACGTCGCGAATTACGATTGATTTTAATGAGTGCCACTTTGAACGCTGAACTCTTATCGGCTTACTATGGAGGAGCACCTACAATTCATATACCGGTAATGTGTTTCTGTTATTACCTGAACACTGTTGATTCTTTTGGGATTCAGGAAGTGGATGCAATGTGAATGTTTTGCTTCCCTATAACGCCTGAGTTCACAACAAGTCAGATAGCTTTTTAGGTTAGTGTTATGTACTTGAAGTATTGGAGCTTGTATTGAGGTAGTGGAAAAGGTCTTATTGTTTGTTGGTGGGCGTTATTGTTGTACTTCTGAATGTCGTCATCTGGATCATAATGGGATGACTAACCTGCTCGTGGTTTTTGTTCTAGGGCTTTACCCATCCAGTCAGGGCACACTTCTTAGAAGATGTGCTGGACATTACAGGATATAAGCTGACTTCCTTTAATCAAATTGATGATTATGGACAAGATAAATTGTGGAAAACTCAGAAGCAGCTGACTCCAAGGAAAAGGAAGAATCAGATCACTACACTTGTTGAGGTACACACTTCATTAGGGGGGAAATAATCAGCTGATTTTGACTAAGTGAAATTTTTTAGAATCTATCTTATTGATTGGTTATTTAAAAAAAAAATTATATTATTTCAAAATATCTTCTTGATTGGTGACATTGGATCACTTTGCCGACCTTTAAGGAGTGTAGAAATGGGATTGAGAATCTGTTTTATTCTAAGTTGCAAAATCTGTATACTCGTGTTTCAAGAAATTCTTTGATCATTCTTCTTGCCTTTACATATGTCCAGCTGTGAAAATACTGATTATTTTGTTCAGTTTAAGCAAAATCCATATGTACACAGCATGCTGTACCCTTAATCTTTCAATTAAGTTTTTCATTTTTATTCTTTGCAGGATGCTCTTAATAAAACAAGTTTTGAGACTTATAGCTCCAGGGTCCGTGATTCTTTGTCAAACTGGATGCCTGATTGCATAGGCTTTAATCTTATTGAGGCCGCTCTTTGCCATATATGTCGGAAGGAGCGGCCAGGGGCTGTACTAGTATTCATGACTGGGTGGGAGGACATTACCTCTTTGAAGGATCAGCTTAAATCTCATCCACTTTTAGGTGATCCCAACAGGATTCTGCTCCTTACTTGCCATGGTTCTATGGCAACATCTGAACAGGTAATGGTTTTCTTATTCAATCTGATAAATAATTATCTTGTAAGCTCCAGGTGCTCATCTTTCTTACTGCTTGGAACTTGGAAGTGTATGTTTACAAGGGGAATCTGTACGGCCAATTATCTGTGTTCATGTGACCCTGCATTGCAAATAGTTGGAGCTGGTTCTCTCTCTTTTGAGTGTCATTTAATTTCCCTGCTTCTTTAAGTTTCAAGCTATAATTTATGTCTGTTTCATTTCATAAAAGTTAGTTCATCTCATTAAATAACTAGAAAGATATTTCCATCCAATCAACTACTTTTTTCTCACTAAAAATGTATATTTATCTACTTTAAAAAAAAATGGTTAAGCACTATTCTCGTTATTTTTCTAAACTTATTTTTGTGTCTTAAAATTTTAGACGAGGAAAAACAAATACAGATACTATACGTGTACTGATTTGGTTTCTCATGTTCACCTTTCTGCTGACCTTTTTCTGCAGAAACTCATATTTGAGAGGCCGCCACCTAATATTCGTAAAATTGTACTAGCTACAAACATGGCTGAGGCAAGTATTACCATTAATGACGTAGTTTTTGTGGTTGATTGCGGAAAAGCAAAAGAAACCACCTATGATGCCTTGAACAATACACCTTGTTTGCTGCCTTCGTGGATATCACAAGCATCTGCCCGACAAGTATGTTTCTTCACATCAATTTTTTCTTTATTCATTTTGTCCAGGTATAGGGTTGATGCTATTTATTGTTCATCTTGCAGGCTATATTGATCTGTTGTTTGGTAGTATTGTCTTGGTAAAATTTCTAATAATTTTTCACCCTGATCCATATAGAAATCTAATGCACGCATAACATGATTATTCTGTGTTACAGAGAAGGGGCAGGGCTGGCCGCGTCCAGCCAGGTGAATGTTACCACCTATACCCTAAATGTGTTTACGAGGCTTTTGCTGAATATCAACTCCCCGAGCTTCTTCGGACTCCATTGAACTCTCTGTGTTTGCAAATAAAAAGTTTGCAAGTTGAAAGTATAGCAGAATTCTTATCAGCTGCACTCCAGCCACCAGAATCGTTGGCTGTAAGTTCTGTGTTGAAAAGTTTACTGAGGTTCATGAGCTGTGAATATGAACATATCTCTCTCTCTTGGATATGCAAATGTATTTAGAGGTTGTTGGGTTGGGCTTATTTCGGTTGCAATAGCTTACATATGCAGACTATTTTCTGAATACTTTTTATACATCATGAATGTAGTGTTTCAAATAGAAAAAACTAATCTCAACTCACTAAAGTGATGCAAGCTTACATACATGGTGGTAAACACATGTGCTACGGAGAAGAGGTCCCACATTTCCTTTTCTTCCTTTACCTTTTTCAAATAGTTCCTCATAAAATGCATGGGACTGGATAATGTTGCCATAAATCCGTCACACTTAATAAAACTAAAAACAAACAGCATTCGATTGGAACAAGTAGAGTTTCAAATATTCAGAACAAGCACAACTTCAAGTTATTTAGTTAGTCAGTAAGCGTGAGGAAAAGCTATAAGTTTGTTTATGCGGATATATATTGTAGTAGTAACATCTGCGAATTTAGGTGCTTATATTGTTACAGCTTTGCATTCTTCCTGGTTTTCCGTTTTGTTGTTTCCTTGGCTCTTTAGTGCCACAGTTTTTTCTCCTTGGCTCCAGTTGCAAACTGATGCTGTATCCTCCATCACAGGTGTTCAATGCCATTGGCTTTCTGAAAATGATTGGGGCACTCGACGAAAAAGAAAACTTGACAAATCTTGGTTAGTTGCTGACTCACTTTAGCTAGCAGTTAATTCTTACTTCTGGCAATTAAAATCTCCTTTCTTATTTGCCCATTGTCAATCAGGAAAATTTTTATCGATCCTTCCAGTAGATCCTAAGCTGGGGAAAATGCTTATAATGGGTGCAATCTTCCGCTGCTTTGACCCAGTACTAACTATTGTATCTGGACTTAGCGTGAGAGATCCATTCCTCTTGCCTCAAGACAAAAAGGAAGTAAGTACTGGGATGTTCTTGTATTTCACGAGGTTTCTTGGGACATTATTTGAACTATGGAGAAATTCCAGTTCAGTTTATATCTCAGTTTCAGTGCATGTGAGGAAGCAATCTTGGATGAATTTGTTCGAGTTTCATTCAAGTTTTGGTATCCGATTATTGATTCGTGACAATAACCAGATGACTGCATTATTGCCATGTCCATAGGCTGTATCTCTCAGTAATGTCACACATGTTCTGTTTTTCCTGTGCAACTAAGTTTCAGATAGCCTATTGCTGATTCTCCCACACTTTGCATATAGTTGTCTGACTGGAAGTTCCATTCAAGTTTGATCGAGTTTCATTCAAGTTTTGGTATCCGATTATTGATTCGTGAGAATAACCAGATGACTGCATTATTGCCATGTCCATAGGCTGTATCTCTCAGTAATGTCACACATGTTCTGTTTTTTCCTGTGCAACTAAGTTTCAGATAGCCTATTGCTGATTCTCCCACACTTTGCATATAGTTGTCTGACTGGAAGTTCCATTCAGTATGATAAATACCTCCCTAATTATGCATTATTCTTTTATAGTTAGCAGGGACAGCAAAGTCTAGATTCTCAGCGAAAGACTACAGCGATCACATGGCTCTTGTCCGTGCTTATGAGGGGTGGAAAGATGCTGAAAGAGAAGGATCAGCATATGAATATTGCTGGAGAAACTTTCTGTCTGCACAAACCATGCAAGCCATTCATTCCCTGCGTAAGCAGTTCAGCTTCATCCTGAAGGATGCTGGTCTCACAGATGGAGACATGAGTTCTAATAACAAATTAAGTCACAGTCAGTCATTGGTTCGAGCAATAATATGTGCTGGCTTGTATCCTGGCATAGCCTCAGTTGTGGTAATTATGCTTACACGTGTGCTGAATGACCTGCTGTCTTTTCGCCACTGAGTTCTTTTGTTTCAGTTAGTTCTTAATATACATTTGCTCTCTTTTGTAATGTGTAGCACAGAGAAACAACAATGTCTTTTAAGACAATGGATGATGGCCAAGTCCTACTATATGCGGTAAGCATTGCACATCTTTGATTCCAATTGCTTGGCGTTTCAGTTCTGGTAACTTCAGATTTCTAACATCAACTGGTTCTTTGTAATAAATGGGTTCAGAATTCTGTCAATGCTCGCTACCAGACTATTCCTTATCCATGGCTTGTCTTTAGCGAAAAAGTAAAAGTCAATGCCGTTTTCATACGTGATTCAACTGGTGTCTCAGATTCTATGTTGATCCTTTTCGGTGGCACTCTTCATCGTGGGGTACAGGTAATTTTACTCTACCCACAGATATACATAGTCATAGTCTTTTTGTCCTAAAAATTTGCTATAGTAATCTGAGTGTTGCTGCTGCACATAGGGAGGACACCTGAAAATGTTGGATGGCTACATCGATCTGTTCATGGATCCTAGTTTGGCAGACTGCTATCTGAATCTCAAGGAAGAACTGGATAAGGTTATTCAAAAGAAGGTTGGTAAATAGAGATGTTTAATCTGTAGGGTTAAATTTATTGGCATGTCAGCCGTTTATCGGAGGCAATCTGCCTTGTATGGTGATATCATTGGCCTTTGCTTTTGGCAGCTTGAAGATCCAAACATTGACCTTTACAAAGAAGGCAAGTATCTTATGCTTGCTGTCCAAGAAATCGTATCAGGAGATCAATGCGAAGGGAGATTTGTATTCGGTCGAGAAAGCAAACGACCAAAAGAATCAAGCGATGACAGCAGATTCACAAAAGACGGCTCGAACCCAAAGAGCTTGCTACAAACTCTCCTGATGAGAGCTGGGCATTCCCCTCCCAAATACAAGACGAAGCATCTGAAGACGAATGAGTTCAGAGCACTGGTGGAGTTCAAAGGAATGCAATTTGTAGGGAAACCAAGGAGAAACAAGCAGCTAGCAGAGAGGGATGCAGCCATTGAGGCACTTGCCTGGTTGACTCACACATCCACTGATACCAACCAAAATGAGGAAGACGGGGATGATACCTGATGTCACCGACAACATGCTCAAACTACTCGGGAAACGCAGAAGATCAAAGCGTCGACCTGGTTGAATGATTGAGTAGGGTTCTTGTAGAGTGGGCTTTCTTGCAGGTTTTCTCCACCAAGTCCGTGAATCAGGTAAACATGTAACTTCATCACCTTCTATGTTGTAAAATTCTTCAAACAACTTGTTACTCGACAATAATTAAGCCAGCATCTATAGAGAGAGGAATTGGGTCAAGGCATCTAGTAGAAGAGTCGATTTTAGAGGAGAGGTATACTAGTATAGTGAAATAACTAGGGTTTTGTTGCCAGTTATTTTGTGAAGATTGGGATGGCCCAATTAATGAGCAGAAGGCCATTGTACAGAACTAGAGAGCTTGCTGTCATTTTATGTATCCATCAATTCATCTGATCAGGTGGTGTGCCTTGATGCTGATTTTGAGGATCGGGACATATTTAGGCTGTGATTTTATCTGTACTTTCTCTTGCTATTTTCTGTATTGTTCCCAGGCACAACAGTTTATAGTACATGGCTCATTAATGTATGGTAGGGTTTCCGCAGTGCAATCTGGTACATTGATGTTTTCAATCTTTATTCATTTCTTGGACGAAATGGAACCTTCAAAATTAAAAGGAAAGAAAGGTACGATTTCATGGAAATGATTTTGTATCTTAGGTTGAGATGTTACAAGTGATATGGATCCTCTTCGGGTTCCTCTTGGATGATGGTGGGGCAAACTTCTCTTGGGTGATGATGGGGCAAACTTTAACGAGGATTTTGAGTCTCAAAGAGGGGGTGTATGTAAGTGTGAAAAGGAACATTCAACCTTTGCGCATAAGTGTGAAAATATAGTGCGAGTTTTGTAACACCTTTGACAAATTTCACATTGACAAATCACGCGTGAGTTCTATGATTTATCAGGAATATACAATCTTAATTGACAAAATGCGGTTTTGGATGAAATAGAAAGAGCTCGTAAGAACTTAGAAAGGTAAGCGTACTCGTTGTAAATGTAGAGATGTGTGATATATCATAAGTCACTATCATGTTATCCCAAAAAGCAAATTCGAGCAGAAATAAGCCCAAAATGCACAACATTTTTGTAAAATTGTTGGCGATGTTACAAATAAGTGAGTAGCATATGTTTTTTTGGGGTTTCTAAAGGGTCGTTTGGAAGTTGTGATGGTTAAAATGATGTATTGTTGTGTATGCAAGTATAATATTATACATGTATTGTCTAATTTGATGCATTGTAGAATACAACGTTTGGTATATGTGATTGTGTATGTCACATCAGCTAAAAGCCGAGACAACAATTTCAACTCAACAATCACAACTAAAAGTTGAGATATAACAATCACTCATTTTGAGTGATTGTTTTTGGCACATCACATAAAAAATTCATGTATTATTTCTGTTAAAAAGGTAAAAAAACGATACATTCTAAACATTACATGTAAAGTAACAATCTCAACAAAACAAAAACAAATTCAAACTACCCCTAAACAAGAAAACTGGATAATTTTGGTCCAAGTCTACGGGGGATGATTTAGCCAAAACAGAAACGACTGCAGAATCCGGATGCAAATTTCACTACCGTTATTATTTTACATTTATTTTTGTCTTCTTTATGCAACCTTTTTCCCGAAAATATAAGAAAGGAATTATATATAAAAAAAAGAAATATGGGGGAAAAAAATATAGAAAACCTAGTTCGTTTCTCAAATTGCGGAGCTTCGCCATTTATTGCTCAGCCACACTCTTTCGCCACGAACGAACACTTTCCCCATCCTCCCTGGCTCCCCGCCTTCTCCGGCCGTTGCCCACCCATCCTCCACTCCCCGGCGGCGACGTCGCCATCACCGCGGCAGCCGCCTTTCCGAACCCAAGCCAGCCGCTGGCATCTTTCATCTTTTCCGCCAGCCAATTCGGCTTCGTCTCGCTGGAATTTCGCCCCTGCCAGGCTGCCACAGCTCTCTCCCCCATCGCCCTGGAAAGTCGTCTCACTCACGCATTCGCATCCTTACTCGAATTCACTCCCATCCCATTTCCTCGTTCTCGCCCGTGTATTCTCTACTGCGTCCGCCGCCCCAGGAGTAGTCAAAGTCTAGTCCGACGTCACTGCCGTCTTTCAATGTCGGAGATTTGAGGTACCGAAACTCATTCCCCTCCTCGCCGGTTGCCAGTAGTCATCGGCCGCCGGAGAAAATCGGGTGGAAATTAAGCAGCTTTTGTTCGTTTCTTAAGGAGTTCGCATTGATTGAACATGATTATTGCGATTTAGATGTGTCACTAAGGTCTCTGAATGCCACGATCCAGCTGATGCCGTCTGTAACTTTTGTGGGCGAGTGTCCGTTTTACGTTTTTATGTTTTGGGAAAGCTGTTGGAAAGTCGGCACTGGAAATGGTTTTGACAGTCGTTCTTCATTTACTGATGGGGCATAATGCTAGATGCTAAGCTTACTGTTTCACCCTGTTTCGATAAAAGGGCCGGTCTTGTTTCTGTCCGTGGTCATCTCCGGGTTGGGTGATGAAGCCTGACCCCATTTTTTTGTGTAGGTCTTGTTTGGATGATTGGAAAACTTACCCTGCCGCTCAACTTGTTACTAAAATGAGACCAAGATCAAATGGGGTTTCTAGGAATCAGAGGGAGCATAGCTTTGAGGTTGGAGGACCAAATTGGATTCTCATTCCTGGTGGTGCCTTGTTGAGTACTTTGACAATCCGCCTTGGCTCCAAGCTGAAGCAGACCCTTGATTCTAGGAGGGAAACACGTGCTAGTAATGCTATAAGTTGTTCTTGTTTATGCATATCCATATATGATAATTTTTGTCCTTTGCTGTGAACGCTTAACCTTTTAAGTTTCTGCAATTCAGGAAATGAGAAATTGTGTGACAGAAGGAGATCGCCAGATTGCCATATGCATCCGAATATGTACTCCTATACACATGACGATGATATCTGCTTCAATTCTGCTTCCGGTACAAAGAGCTTTATTTCATTTTTCATTTTATTGTATCTGGACTCTGAATGAATTATGAGGAAGTAACCCAAATCATTTGTTGCTGCTGCTCATCAAATGATTTGCTACTGTACTCATGATATATATCTTTGAGGAATATTCCGAAACGCCTTCCTTTTTCTATTTTGTGGATCGCTGCTATGTACTCTAGCCCGTGTGCTTATTTCAAATATTTTCATTCAGCCTTTGTCTTGTGATTTGTGTTCGAGGCAGGGAATGAAGGCATCGAAGAAGTAAAATATCCTCCTAATGATCACTCGCTGTCTGAAACTGATGGTGCACTCCCTTTGGTCACAGTCAATGCACCAGAATACTCAAGAGAGAATGGCATTATGTGGGTTTCATCTCTTGATCGTCTCGAGTTACCGCCAAAGCCATTTCACCATTCAAACTGCTCTGACTCGCCATGTGTCTGAGTCTGGTTCAGACATATTTAGCAAGCGTGAAGTGATACAAAAACTGAGACAACAACTAAAAAGAAGGGACGACATGATAATTGAGATGCAGGACCAGATCATGGAGTTGCAGAATTCAATAAATTCTCAAATGGCAATTTCTACTAGTTTGCAGTCTCAACTTGATGCTGCTAACAAGGATCTGTTAGATTCGGAGAGAGAAATCCAAAGGTTGAGAAAGGCCATTGCCGATCACTGTTTAAAACATGCAAACGGTGATGGGAAACCGTCAGTTGTTGCTGCATGGCCACCTGAGGTAAGAAATGGGCATGGAAATGGGTATTCGGATGCTGAAAGCACCTATGACTTTCCAGAAAAAGGCAGGATTGATGGGGAGAAGGTCGAGATGCTTAAGAGGGAAGTAGGAGAATTGAAAGAAGTGTTAGAAGGGAAGGAATACTTGCTGCAGAACTACAAGGAGCAGAAATCGGAGCTTTCGGTGAAGATCAAGGAGTTGCAGCAAAGACTGGATTCCCAGCTCCCTAATATTCTATAGGGGCGTTGTTAGGCCATGTGAATTCTTGCTTTCCCCCCGACTTTGATTGTCACTTCCGGTTTTTGGAGATTGTTCTTTATCCAAGATTTTAGGTTAGAAATCTAGTGTTTTCTGTGCTCGCATAAAGTGTGCCAGTTGCGGATGTGATTAGCGAGAGGCAAAGCAAGGGTTTGTAATTGTCCGTTTTGCTTGTCAATGTCTCTGTTCACTTTTATAGAAATATGAATGCAATTTTCCACGAAGCGTGAACCCTGTTGCATTTTTGGCTTCTTTGTTTACCTGTTTACACTGTTGTCAATCATAGAAATAAGTTCCTTACATCTTTGTATGCCAGAGTAACTTGTTTCGGCTCGTCTTCGGATAAATTTTAATCACAAGTCACAACGGATTTCACTATCAACAGATGTGCTCTTTATCATGGGCAATTGGGCATCTTTGACGATTGTTTATCCGACTTTAAATTTCTATTATTTTACTTCAGGCTATCTTGCACAGACGTTTCCAGGCACCTGTGCTTTGATTTTAAATCAAAGATGACAGGTCTGTTTGCCTATCTTGTCTTCAATCCTCTATGGCTTATAATTTATTCCTCCAATTTTCTTCTGTTGTCATTAAATTGTTGAAAATTTTGGTACATGGTTTAAATTGTATGCAGTGCAGTATACTTCTAGTATGCAACAACAATTTTGGGAGGACGAAGAATGACTGTCAAAGGGAGTATCAAATGCTGAGAGACTGAACTGGAATGGAAGTCGGATAATCTTCATTGATACGAGGGGTTAATCAATTAGCTTCAGTTGGCTTAGCCATGCCATGAGGGTGAATTACACAAGGTATGCTTAAGAAAACACTCAAATGGCTTCTCTATTGCACATGCACACTACTCATTTTTTTAGTTATGTTACTTGTGATATTATCCACTGATTAGATGTGCTTGGGTGTTGGGAAGATCATAAGATAGATAGAACTATTTTCTTTCACTGGTACAACTTTATGGAGAAGATACGTTGGTATTGGTTATTCTTTGCGTAATGGGTTCTTTGAATAGTCAAGTAATGTTGTAGGTTTCCCCAATATGCGAGGGAAAAAAGGTAACAGCCAAGAGTTAGTTTCATTCATTCTGTTTTCTCTATTTTTATCTTTACTTTTTCTCTTTTGGAGAAGGAGCCCATTTGGTTCGGACCCTTTGGCTAATGTGGTGCAAAGTGAAAGGCTTGGTTAATCGTAGACACTGGCAGTTTCATCAGTTTGTTTTCTTTTTCTCGGAAGTCCTTTATCAGTCAGTTCCTTCTGTTGCTTTTTCTTTATCCTCAAAAATTTTTTCCTTTACTTCTTCCTTTTTACCTTTTTTGTTGTTGTTGTTGTTTGAGTTTCATTCCATCATTTCGTTCAAGTGTGGAGTATGGCTGGCTTCATAGTTGATACATAACAGAAGCATTTGTACAAATATTAAAGTCTGCAGAGAAGAGATACAGCTACCGTACGATGTTGTATATCGATTCCAAGATTTGTGGAAATGAAATATGCTATTTGATGGGACTATTGGATCCTTAAATAAGATAGTATGTATTTGATCACAATGTTATAGCACAGATTAATAGATTGATTATGATCTGTAAGTTCAACTATCAGTCAGGAGTAGTCCTCATTTCCTTGCCAATTCTATTTCAAGCTAGTAGAATGCTCCCCTTGCTTAGTCCGATGTTTGAGGATCTACTCCAGTCAAAATAGCACTATCGTATTTAGTTGCATGTCTAATTTTCTTTTCGTTCAAATGGAAGTTAGCCAAAAATAGCTACGTGCAAAGTTTCTTAACCCTTTTATCTTGCATTCTATTTTAAGCATTGTCTTGCCTACATAAATCCATCTCTGGGATCCTGCAAAACAATCAATTAAACCTTTTGGGTTTTGAGGATAACATTGGAGATGGTGAATGCTATGAGACTGTGCACCTTGGGTCTTTTCCTTTTGTCCTGCTGGACATGTGAGGCAGGCAGCAAGGTTTCCAAGGCAGTGGATGTTAATATGAAATACAAAGATCCTAAATTGCCTGTCGAAGATAGAATTACTGATCTATTGAGTCGAATGACTCTTGAAGAAAAGGTCGGCCAGATGACACAGATTGAGGTACCAGTTGCCACTCCTGAGATCATGGAGAAGTACTTCATTGGTACGTTTCTATGTATATGCATGTGCCACCACCACGAATTTTTCCTATTCTTAGTTACTCTTCTTATATGGCAAATGATAAATATTGATAATGCAGGGAGCTTGTTGACTGGTGGAGGAACTCAGCCTGTTAAAGATGCGTCTGCAAAGGACTGGGTGGACATGATCAATAAGTTTCAGAAAGGATCTCTGAAACTCGACTTGGGATACCTATGATTTATGGGATCGATGCCGTTCATGGCCACAACAATGTTATTAATGCCACCATTTTCCCTCATAATGTCAATCTTGGTGTTACCAGGCAAGTGAAATGATCTCCTAACTGCACAAACGTGGTTTTGGTGGCTCATAATTATCATTTATCAGGAATATCTTTCACAGTATCTGCATTTGTTGTTGTTGCTAGGGATCCTGCTCTTGTCAAGAAGATTGGCGAGGCAACTGCTGTGGAAGTTAGAGCTACAGGAATCCCCTATGCTTTTGCTCCATGCATTGCGGTATAAAAAAAGATACTTGGCAGTTTCTTGCTGTCTACTGCCAAATTTTTTTTCCCTTGTTATCAGATTGTTTAGAATTATAACTTTTCCTTTGGGCGAGTGCAGGTTTGTAGAGATCCGAGATGGGGAAGATGTTACGAGAGCTACAGTGAAGACCACAAGATCGTTGAAGAGATGACTGATATAGTTAATGGCTTACAAGGGGACCTCCCACCCAATTATCCAAAGGACTACCCGTTTATTGGAGGAAAGTAAGAACTCTCTTTATCAGTAGCAATCCCTAGACTTGTGCGAAAAGCCATGCTTGATTTTATCCTTGTTCAATCCATGCAATTTTTTTGAATAATACGCAGGGATAAGGTAGCAGGTTGTGCCAAACATTATATTGGTGATGGATGCACGGTTAAGGGCATCAATGAAAACAACACCATCATCGACATGAAAGATTTGATGTCCATGCTCATGCCGGCTTACGATCTGTCGGTCCAGAAAGGTGTTGCCACAGTTAGGATATCTTATTCAAGCATCAACGGGGTAAAGATGCACGCCAATAAAAAGCTGATCGACCTTCTCAAGGAGAAGTTCAAGGTACATAATCCAACAGCAATTACTATGACATTCTGTTATGGAGTTTCGTCGTCAATTAATGGGTGCAGCGATTAATGGGTTGCAGGGTTTCGCGATCTCTGATTGGCAAGGAATTGACCGGATCACTTATCCACCTGATGCCAATTACACGTACTCCGTTCAGGCCTCCATTTTAGCTGGCCTTGACATGGTAATCAGTTACTATGCTAATTGCCCAAATTGCACTGGCGGAGTAGTAAGCATATCCAACAGCTTAATGTTCTTTTATCATCTTTTTTTTTTTTTTTTTTTTGCTTTTGTCTACCTTCTCCAGATCATGGTTCCTGACAACTACACAGATTTCATTGGGAACCTGACAAAATTGGTTAATGATAAAGTCATTCCAATGAGCCGCATTGACGATGCTGTGACCAGAATCCTGAGGGTCAAATTCTTGACAGGCCTCTTTGAGAACCCAAATCCAGACTACAGTATGGTGGATATGATTGGGACAAAGGTGAGAGTAGCGGATTTTATTCTTTGTCTCCCTTACATTTCTCGTAATCGAGTCTGCCCACTAACCATCATTCTAACATGTTTGCCTGAACTGAAATTTTCTAATTTAGGAGCATAGAGAACTGGCCAGAGAAGCTGTGAGGAAATCTCTTGTGCTCTTGAAAAATGGCAAGACGGAGAGTGAACCCATCTTGCCCCTGCCTAAGAAGACCAAAAAGATCATTGTTTTGGGATCCCATGCTGACCACTTGGGATATCAATGCGGCGGCTGGAGTGTTGAATGGCAGGGATACTCTGGCAATGACAGGACTTCAGGTGATGCATTCACCACTCTCTGCTCTTACTTATTTGCAGACTTAACATCCAGCCGCCTAGTGCAAGACAGAGACAAAGATGGAAACGGAAATTCTAACAACTATAACAAACATTGTCTGTCTGCAGGAACTACCATTCTGAAAGCGATTACCAACATGGTGGATCCAAGCACACAAATCCAGTTCAGTGAGAAAGCCGACCCTGAGTTCCTCAAGGCCAACAAAGACGCAGACTTTGCAATCGTGGTGGTGGGGGAGAAGCCATACGCAGAGACCAAAGGCGACAACCTGAACCTGACCATCTCTCATCCGAGCCAGGAGGTCATCAAGAAGTCGTGCGCCAGTGGGATCAAATGCGTCGTGATCCTCATCTCGGGCCGCCCCCTCGTTGTAGAGCCGTTCCTGCCAGCGATGGATGCATTTGTGGCAGCTTTCCTTCCTGGCTCTGAAGGCCAAGGAGTTGCTGATCTGCTGTTTGGCGACTTTGGCTTCACTGGGAAGTTGGCAAGGACTTGGTTCAAGCGGGTTGATCAGCTCCCCATGAACTTTGGGGACAAGAACTACGACCCTTTGTTCCCCTTCGGATTTGGCCTTAAGACCAAGAAGGGCGATGGACAGGGCGAGTTGTGATAAATTTTTTGGTACTAACAGGATTAGATAGAACTCAATTGCTATGTACCCTTTTTTTTCTAGAGGGACTGGATTTATAAAGAGCCATTAGGCTCTGCAATAGTTTATTGGGATAAACTATTATTGATATTAAACACATGAGTTGAATTTATTTTAATCATAATTTTCTATCATTCATGTAAATCTTTTTTTCTTTCACTGTAATGTAATAGCAATCTACTTATTCATCCATTTAGAACAAATTTTAACTATGTTAGAATGGTTCTCTATATGGGAAAATGAAACATAGTTTGGGCTAAAATTCCTATTCCTCTTAGGCTAAGACTCTGAAATTAGTCACCTAAGTCACTTTACAACAATCCTTGTCTATCAAGGATTCCAAGTCCTACAAAGAAAATGACACATCTTTGGAATTCTTAGCGTGCTTCCTAGATTGTGTTCTCTTCACAATACCCAAATTGCTCTTATTAACTTACCAATGACCATTAGTACCCTAGACAATAAGTGACAAAAAAAGTGGAATCCTACCTATATGGAGTTTGTTACGCAATGCTGTCAAAATCATGTTTTAAAGCTTAAAAGCGGTTACACTTTTACGCTTATAGGTCACTAAACGTTCTGACGGACTCAGGATTTTCCTAGCTAAAGTAGTCCAAATCGTGCCCTAACTTTTAAAAGCTTACGATTTTACGCTTCTAGGTAGAATTACACTTTTTTACTGCATGCTTCAGCCACGTCAGCTCTAATTGAGTACCGTTACATAAACCATGGTACAGCTAAGAAAGGCGTTAGAATAATAATAATAATAATAATAATAATAATAATAATAATAAGAAAGATCATATTTGATATTTGTCATACTTTGTATTTATTTTCTTTTTCTGTCATTTTAAATAACCAAACTATTTACCAGGAAAAACTAGTCGGTACATTCCATCGACTTAATTTGGACATTGGTGGCTTGGGACCTACGACTTCCCCGAGGGAGCGGCGTTGGCGTACGACCGGGAGATAAACCGGATCCACGACGCCAAGGCGAAGCTGAATTTCCCGCCCCTGGGCGGGACCAATGGGTGGGAGCTGGGTCGGGTGGTGGGATCTGGGTCTAGTAAGCGGCGGGTAGGAGGTGCTGATGCAGAGGGGGAAACGACGCAGTCGGAGGTGGGGAGTGAAGGGTACGGTACGTCTACGGCGGCGGGGTGGCGAGTATTCGCACGATTGAGTTCGGCGAGAGGAGTGACGATTTCTCGGTTTTGATGGGTTCCTGGATGGTTAACAACCAGGCTTTTGTGGATTTGGATTTTGTTGTTTGTGTTTTTATGTTACGCGTTGCAATCTTTAGTACTTGACGATTTAAGAGTGTTGTCTGGAAGCTATGAATACTCATTTCATTGCAATCGATTTCGAATCAAATTATAGTTTGAAGAATTGGATGATGCAGAATTGAAATTGAACACGAGGCACGAGATTTTACGTGGTATTGTCGATCAATTGATTAATCAAGACTAATCTACGGTGAGCTCGAAAGAGCTCACGACTAACGTTTTATTGAACGACTACATTGTGACGTGACGTCTTGCTTATGACAATCTCTGTATCTAAACTTATATAGACGTAGGGTTAAAACCCTAATAACAACCAAGTTTCCTTCTTTGACAAGAACTAGGAAACAAGGGACTTGGAGGACAAGGAATTAATTACTTTTGACTAAGTAAGTAATATCCTCAACACTCCGCCTCAAGCGAAGACATGAATGACAAGAACGTCAAGCTTGAAAAAGGAAATGTGACGAACAAGCATGACAAGCTTGAACAACAAAACTCGAGATGAATAACATCTCAGACGAGGTTGATTGGAGATGACTGACTCTATCTTTGAACAACCTGATGATGGAGACTGTTGAATGCGTCTTCTTGAACTTCGTGACGAAAACGGTTGATTGCGTCTCTTGAACGACCTGACGGAGACGGTTGATTGCGTCTTCTTGAACTTCGTGATGAAGACGGTTGATTGCGTCTCTTGAACGACCTAACGGGGACGGTTGACTACATATCTTGAACTCACTTGATACATCGCGATCGACTTTATGACTGAGCTAGTCAACCAACGTATGTTGACTCCCTATTCTCCCCCTCAAGCTGGAGCATGAACGATGGGCATGCCCAGCTTAAAAGTTAGAATGGTGAGGACGCAAAGTTGACCAATTCTGAACGCAGAGGGGACGATCGCTTCCTTGATAGTGACTGCCTCGCACCTTTAGAAGAATCATACGTTCCTAACAAAGCCTAGGGAAAGAAAATACATTTCTCCATCAATACACAAAACTTGCTCTTCTTTCATTGGCGGCTTTGTGATCTTTATGAAGATGGCAGGACAACAACGGTAACAAAACTCCGTGACATGTGAAGATTGATCAAGTTCCACGAACACAAGGCAGGGGAACAATGACAACTTAAAGGGAAGAGCTGCTGCGGACGAAGAAATGGCGGAAGGGAACTGATACAAAGGCGTTTCCTGGTTCGTGGGCCTTGGGAGGAGACCGTCGAGCTCATCAAGGCCTACCACGACAAGTGGTTCGCCATCAACCGTGGCAATCTTTTGGTTGCCAAATGGGACGCCGCCACCGTTGCGCTGGCCGACTCCCCATGCTTATCGGAAATATCTAGGGTTAATACGTTAGTTTGGCCCGAACTATAGACAAACTTACTACTTTGGCCCATGGTATCGGAAATTTCTATTCTAGCTAGAACTATGTAGCATACTTCCTTATTTGGCCCGGATGTGGATTTGACCGTCAAATTGGACGGTCAACCGAGTTGACCGTTAGTCAATGTCCAGCTCACTTGACACAGCAGCTAGTAGGCAATAAAAAATTATTTTTTTAATTTCTTTATTTTGTTTACTTTCTAATAATAAAAACAATAAACGAAAAAACATTATTTTAAAAAATTTCATCCCCTCTTACCACCGGACTCCTCCTCCGACAGAAAGGTCTTGCCGCCCTGCTGGACGAGGGAGGAGACCGTCGAGCTCATCAAGTCCTACCACGACAAGTGGTTCGCCGTCAACCGTGGCAATCTTTTGGCTGCCAAATGGGACGCCGCCACCATCGCGCTGGCCGACTCCCCAGCCCCTTCCGACCCTCCCAAATCCACCGTCCAGTGCCGGCACAAGATCGAGAAGATACGGAAGTGCTACCACGCCGAGAAGCAGCGGTGCATCAATTTCCCAGGTCAGTTCTTTTCTTCCTGGCACCTGTTCCCTCTCTTGGATGTCACGTCATAATTTAACGGTCCAGTCAGCTGTCCTGTTTGCCGCGTAATAAAAAACTGACGGAGTCTGACGACCGGTGAAATGAATCATAAAGTTGGTGGTGAATATGAAAGAAAAGTAATTCGAGTGACAAACGTTAAAAATTTATATAATTTGAGTGACCTAACGTGTAATTTAACCGGAAAAAAAAAATCAAAAAGATGTTGTCATATGGGCCGGATCTTGGTAGGAAGAACCTCCGTTCGGCCAAAAAATGTATTGGGCCTAATAAAAGGGAGGGAGGGAGTCCGCCCTAGGGCCGGCCCGGACCGAGTCCGATAGAAAAGCGGCAGCAACTCCTTATAAATAGATTCTTCTGGTTCTGATTTCTGAAAGAAAAAAGAACCAACCTATATTGTACTGTTTTCCCCCTGATCGCGATAAGAGGTTCTTTGGCGAGAGTCGACCAACCAATTAGGGATCTTGCTTGCCAATGCCACCGGTAGGTCTTCCTCAATGGTTTCTTTGATTTATTTCAGCGTGCTAATTGATTAGAGAGCGAGGGAGAATCGAATGGATGAATGTCGGCTGTTTAGGGTTTCTTTCAGAGATCGTAGGTGTTTGATTCCCTGATGATTTGAAAGTTTGTTGGCCGCTTGATTGGACTTGCAAACTGTTTCTGTCACTGTTGGTTGTTTAGGGTTTCTCAGTAATCGTAGGTGTTTAATTCCCTGCGTTTGAAATTGCAATCATCGTCGATTGCTTGGACTTGTAAACTGTTTCTGTCTCTAATAACTGCTTCCGATCTCTGATGCATACCACCTGCTTGATGATTTGTGATCTATCTGCCGCGGCGAGGGCAGATGCTGGTCTGGTTTTGCCTAATCCGTATTGGGTTCTTGTTGGCGTCTTCATTTTGATTGATTTCTAGGTTCAACCTGGCAGCTAGATACATGCTTACCTGACTGCGCTGTTGTTGCCTTCTCACTGCTCTTTAGAAAGACAACCAGTCTTACTATCAACTGCTTGTTAAAAACAGATGGATGTTTAATTGATTTCAGCAGGTACCTGCTGCTACCACCATGGAGGTTGGATCTCAAGAAGAAAAGCCTCGGAGGTGGGGCCCCGAAGGCCCCATGTGGGAACACGTAATGCAGATCCACAATGTGATGGATGTCAGATATAAAAGTTGGACGGCGGAAGACCTCCAGGAAGCATCGGGCCTCCCAGCTATGGAGGTCGAGAGGTGCATTAAGAGGCTTCTGGAAATCGAGGAAATCGTAGAGGTGAACAGCCCTGACTACGAGCCACGGGGGGATACACAGTACATGAATGCTTATTTTGCTGAAGAGGAATTCAATCCGTTCTTCGAGTTTTGGAGGAAGCATTGTTTGGGGATCATAGACAGCCAGGAGGTGGTTTCTCTGGAGAGAATTACACACCTGCTGCGGGTTAGCGCGCGTACTGGGCTCTCGCTCCAAATGCCCGAACAGAGCGTCAAAGAGCTGTTGATTGATCCTCTGGTTCTCAGGAATGGAGTGATTGAAGTGGTGAGCAATGGGATGGGGGAGTTTGCTTCCATACCTGCGGGCCAACTTTGTTATAAGCGCCCCGCTTAATTGCTAGGCACTGCCGCTAGCTAGCTGGCATGGTATAGCTTTATCCTCGCCAGCATGATGCCGACTTCTTGTGTTTACTGCCCTGCGACAAGTGAAGTAGCTACCTTCTACTTTTGAACTCGATCGACCTAGTATATTTATATGATTGTGGAGTAATGTCGTTAGCTATCTAATGTTATGTTTAAGAATATTGGCTGAGATCAGTACCTTTCTCTTTCTTTCTTTCTTGTGGGAAAATTGTTGGCGACTCTCGTCTGTTTGCTTAATCTCTTGTTTCTACGTTGTGTCTAGATAGCGAGGTTGAATGAACTACCAAGTTTTGTGCATTTGGCAATAATTCCAATTAGTACTCAACCTGGTATCGGCAGCTAATTACAATTAATACAGCAAATACGTTTATTTTACGGTTTTCGTATGACGGTTGACGGCTAGGCTAGGTTAAAAAGTATGGAAGGAGTTCTTACTCTTCTTAGAACATTATAACATTCAACTAGGAATGACCATTAGGTTTTAGGTAACAAATTATTTATTTGTTGGAGAACCACATAACAGTCATATGACACTTGTTTCCAGGCCCTTTCTGAATCTCCCACAACCCAATAACAACTGACTTCCCAAGTCTAGTCCACACCCTTAAAAATACTCGATCTAGCTCTCTTCCGCCGGCGTTTTTCTCTCTATTATACAAGTAATTCACGTAAATATCTATACGTTCTTTAGTTTACTAATATTGTCGATTTCTCAATTTGTTCATGGGCTTTGACTTTTTATTATTATTATGAGATATGACAATAAAAACAAAATAAAATGAAAGCAACTCTAAACTAAACAGAAAAAGGGCTTTTCTTGCCACACTATAGGCAACTCGATTGGCAGTTATAGGAACCGCACAAACCTCTAAGCATATGTCTAGGGTAGCGATAATCTGACGACACTCTCTGAGCAGCGGGCCTCCAACAGCTTCTGACTCTATCCCCTATGAGAAGCTTGCGAATGATGACTTTCAGAGGAGCTGATTCAGAGGTGGAAACGACTCCGCCAGAGGTGGGGAGTTAAGGGTACGGAATGCCGACGGCGGGGATGTCGAGTAGTAGGACGATTGAGTTCGGCGGGAAGAGTGACGATTTCTCGGTTTTGATGGGTTCCTGGATGGTTAACCGCCAAACTTTTGTTGGTTAGGGTTTTGTGGTTTGCTATTTTAATGTTCAGCGTTGCAATTTTTACTTTGACAGTTTGAGAGTGTTGTATTAGAAGCAATGTATACTCTTCTCTTTGTATCTCTTTCGAATTGAATTATAGACCATCTATCTATAAAATATATTAAAGCAGTTTAAGAAAATAGCCCTCTCCACGTCAGCCTCGGAGGCCTCCTCGCGATTTCCGGAAATATGTATTGTTGGGCATGCGACTCGGACCTAACCGCACCATGAAAGCACAGAGGCATCTAAAGCGCGCTATGACTAAGCCCATTAGGGTCGGCGCGACTGAAGCGGCGCCAGCGCGAGGACGCGAAGACCTCGAGTGTGGCGAAACCCGTGTACGCGTAGGAAGAGCCCAAAAGCCGAATGGCGGCGTTCCAGTCAAGCGTCAACCAGACCGAGAAGCTATGGAAAACGACGCCGCGTCCCCCGAGGTGTTGTCACATCATAGTCCTAGGTACATGCATAGGTGTAGTAGTGGATAACTGTCCTTGTCCTAGGTAGAGGTATGGCCTAAGCTTCTGACCTGTTAGTGGTCATGTCACCCAGTAACTCACCCACCACCATGTAACCTATAAATATGACATTTACTCCGGTGGGTGAGGGGATCGCATTTTGGGAGACTCTATCTCTACGACTATCAACTTTTCTCTCTAAGATATTACACTCTCAATCTCGTTCTCCTTAACCTTCGTTCTTCAACCTACAGTTAATTCTGGTTGCTTGCTCTTCTTGACCCCCATTTTCTCCCCCGAACCTCACTCCTACACTCAGTTAGGTTCAAACATGTATTTTGTTTACTTTTTTATTTTTTAAGTTTTCATGGAACGGAACCGACGGCTTTATCTCTCTTCTTCTCTTTTCTTCTTTCTCCCACAAGGGAATCTTTTGCCTTGAAAACAATATCCTTGCGTTCAAACTCGAACCTAGACTCAGATTATCCACTCCTCCTCCTCCTCTGTTCGGAGCCAGATTAGGCAATGAGTCTTCATTATCCTACTACGGTGCTACCAATCAGACAAGTGTGTTGATTTGAACTCCGTTCTCTCCGTCTACACCGGTGCCGCTTGGCTTCAGGGGAACGATACTCTTTTTTTATGTGAGAAACTACGCTTTCTAAGGTAAAAATAAAGAAAGTTTCTTAATTCTTAAGCCCTTTTTTAATACATCATAGTTTTTTATTCTATAGACATGATATATCTCTTGAAATGGTGCATATAATTGGTAAGATATAGAGGTGGTAATTAGAATCCAAATCCATGAATCCAATCAATCCATCCACAAAATTATCCACCTAATCCAATCCATTTAAATCCAATCCATTTGATCCAAATCCAATTGGATTGGTGGATTCATGGATCAATCCATGGGTCGAAATGGCAAATTGCTATTTGGTACCTATATTTTTTATATTTTACATTTTGGTACCTAAAAAGTATATTTTTATACAAAAATATCATTGGAAAATTATATTTTGGTACCTAAATTTTTTTATTATGACATTTTTGTACCAAAACTTTGCAAATTTTACATTTTGGTCCAAGCTTTGGATGTCATTTGGATTCATGGATCAATCCACCAATCCATTTGATCCAATCCATGAATCCACCAATCCATTGGATCCAATCCATTTGATCCACACGAATCCGATCCAATTGCCACCTCTAGTAAGATATGAATCAAGAATTGGAAAATCGTACCGGCGGTTTGACCAAAAAAACTTTCTACCAAAGATCAAAACGGTAGGTGGTATGAAACAGTTGAACCATAATTGAATCACTGTTTTAGCATAAAATACTCTACTAAAGAATTTTCTAGTACAACCTCCGGTATAGTATTTCAATCCTTGATGTGAACGCTTTCTCATTGACTTCAACTTATTAATTTATGGGAACTTTCTCAATAATTTCAACTAACACAGTTATAATTCATAACAAATTGATAATTTAAAAATTATAAAAAATACTACCTGCCCAAAGGGCAGGGTATCAGCTAGTTTATAATTATACACTTTTTTCGTAATAATCTTCGAGCTCGACGTTCTCACATGTCACGATTCACGATTGGATGTGTGCCAATATGAAAACTATGTGTATAGCCTTTTTCTTCATGTTTGTGGTTGTGTCATTTTGATTATTTTTAATGATGTAGCAATTGTTGTGGTGGAGGTCGAGGTGCAGACGAACTATTTTGCCGTCTTTCCTCCGTGCAATGGAGAGCCCGACCCACTATTGACCGCTTTCAACTCTGCTCCAGTAATTGAGCAAGTTTCAATTACAGATCAGGTCGGATCCAACCCGTCGGATTGGACTGTGAATAATTACATAGGTAGAGAATGTGTTAAAAAAAGTAGAAGGAAATGAAAATGAAGCTAATAAAATATTGTAAAATGTCCCTCTATAAATAATGACCTTAAAGTTTGCTATAATTAAAAAAGAAATCTCTTCATGAATAGTAAATCCTAAACTATCAATAGGGAGATGAATGAAATAGGAATAGAATGAGTTTAAAAGGTAAAATAAAATAAAAAAAATGAGACCAATAAAATGTTGTCATATGTCTCTTTATGAATAACGACACAAGTAGATAAAGAGTTAAAAAAGTAGAAGGAAATGAAACCAATCAAATAAAATGTTGTCATATGTCCCTCTTTAAATAATGACCTTAAAGTTTGCTAGAATTACAAACAAACAAAAATCTTAATGATTATTAATTTTTTGTAGAATGATTACTAAATTACAATTAATACACTCACTCACACATTTCTAGTTATGATGAATGAAGTTATCGTTGACCATAAAAAATTTCAAATTTATATTATTATTACTAAAATATCTATCAAATTGTTCAAACCGTTTGACAAAAGAAATCATAATTTGTTTTAATTCAATTTGAAAATTACGATGCATGTCGGTAGTGGACCGCGTAAAGTCGATAACGAGGTTGGAAAATGAGAAGAAGATGCTGAAATAAAATTAATAATTCGGGTTTGATGCTCTTAGTTTATATTAAAATTTAAAAATAATGTGGTTAAAATAGTAAACCAGTTAAAGAAAACCTAACAATCAAACTAACTACGACCAAATGGCAAACGAGACTAATCTGCTAACTACTTAATCACTGTAGCTATGAGACGTCGTTCTACTTTGTGGAGTAATCCATGCTCCCATGTCACTGTGAATTTTATACCAAGGCAACATGGATAATATGTTGGATAAAATTCCATCGGGCGGGTTACGAATTGTACCTGTTGATGCCCAGATACTCCCTCTTCCACGTGGCTTCACCAATCGCTCCACGTCGAGCGCTTGAACCCTGCAGGACGGGCGCCTAGAGGGCTAAACCCGTCCGTTAGCACTCCAACGATCAAGTCAGGAGCAACTCTAGAGAGAGAAGTGAAGGAAGAAGTTTAGTGTGAGAAAGACCCACCTGCTTAAATGCTACCTACCAAGTGCTATTTATACTACTCGGGCTCCTCGACCAAGCTCCGACCAACTCCTGCCACCAAGCCCTACGTCAGCCTAGCATTAAATGCCTGGTCGGCCCTGGCGCCTACGCGCCTACACGTGGCACACTGTCCGTTTTCCACGTCGGGGCGCATAGGGGGACCACTGGCCTCGTGGCGCCCTTCCGACCTTGCCCATCCGTACTTCTTTGTCTGCGAGCCTATTTTGTCGCCATGCGCCCCCTTTTCCTTCATAGCTACCTAGGTTATGCCCTCATGGGCCATAAATGGGCTTGATGTCCACTAGGCACCTGCCTTTCATGGGCTTGTTTCTATTACCCTAACCATGGGTCAATGCCCCAGATAGATCCTAAGTGGGCCCCCGGCCCAACGGGCTCTTTACTTTCGTAGGCTTATCCCTATTACCCCAACAATTGCCCCCCAGTTAGGTGTTCACTGGTGAGCGCCTAACTATGACCCTGGCCAACATGAGGCTTCACAGCAGGCGGGACGATAAAATGCCATGCGCTTCTAAACGATAGAAGGGGCGCTCAGGGTCACCTTGCCCCCCTCTCCTAGTTTAAGAAGACTTTCTCCCCTTTACGTTTACTTAATCGATCCCCCGGTTGCCTTGCGCCTTCCTCAAATGGGCCTGCGCCTATTAGATAAAAGGGGCGTTCAGGGTTGCCTTGCCCCCCTCACCTAGCTAAGACAAATTTCTTCCTTTACTTTTATTTAATCGACCCTCAAGGCGCCTCGACTTTGATCCTACCAGGCGCATGACGCCTCGACTTTGATCCTACCAGGCGCATGACCGTACCTCCTGCCCCCCACTCGTCGTGCGTTCAAATTTTGAATTTTAAAATTCAAATTTTGAACGGAGGGCGAGGATTGGACTGTTCCGCGCGCGATTTCCGAGGTGACCCTTCACCTCCTCCCTTCCTCTTATAAATATTTACTCTCCTCACCATTCCTCCTCATTCGCCCCAAATCTGCTTCTCTCTCTACTTCCTCTCTCTAGCTGCTCCCTCTCTTTCACACCCACACGCCTGCCCCTTTCGTGTCCCGTGCGCCTACTTTCGTCTCGCCAACATGTCGCGATCTGACTCCGGCACTACCCACACCGCCACTGAGAAGGAGGGGAACACGGCGCCCAGCGTTCTCGACGTGCTTGAGGAACACCTATCGCCCGACCCGCTACGGAATCAGGATCAACGAGCGTCTCGCTCGACCAAGGAGGCGCCCAAGAAAACAACGCCCGCCCCTACCGCTTCAGCGCCTGCCGCGACGGAGGCGCAATCATCGGCTAAACAAGCCACGCATGCGCCTGGAGACACAGAGGCGCCTTCTGAGTACACGGCTACGGCCTCGACCACTAACCAAGGTAGTTTCCTTATGCCCTTCTATTTTCCGAACCTTTTGCTTTTTCGTTACTCCTTTGTTAGGCGCCCATTAGCAATCTTAGGCCCGTGTCATTGACCGAGGGCGATTGGATCACTTTTAGGCTCCGCTCCTACCTCGGACTCCGCGCCCGCCTCATCAGAGTCGGGTGAGTTGCAGAATTCTCCGGCTTCCACCAACTCAGGCGCCCCTGAAGATGGGTCCTTCAAGATAATTGATTGGGCTGATACTTGGCCGCAAGGTGGGGCGCCTGAAAGTACGAGCAGTCTGTCCGTGACTCAAGCCGGGCCAAACCACGTGGCCACCGTCAAACTAGCAGAGTTGCACCGACTGATAACATCGTGCAACTTGCCCCGGAACTGGTCTTATGCGCCTGCCTCGCGGGTTACCAGGGTAGGCGTTGTAGGTCCGCGCTGGATTGGGATCTATCGAGAGTATTTTAAGTTCGGGTTGCGCTTTCCTTTGGATTCGATCCTAGAGGGAATTCTGGAGACATGCGCCTGTCCTATTGGGCGCCTATCACCGTCGGTCTTCCTGATACATGTTCTGTTCAAGGTGAAATGCCGTCAGAACAACATCTCTCCGACATTCAAGCTCTTCAAGCACTTTTTTACGATGACCAGCAGTAAGAACTGCCTATCCCTTCAGAGGCGCCTGGACATTCCGGGACATTTCGTGGAGGATTGCCCTAAGTTGGGGCGTTCTTGGTATAGATCCTATTTCTTTATCAAGCCACACGCAGACTCCTTCTATGAGAGTGGCGGCCGGTTTACTCGGCGTTGGAGGGTTGGTAATACCTCCCGCTTCAACATTGACGAGGCGTTAACCAGGGAGGAGGAGGAGCACGCACGCCTGCTGTCCCTTCACCCTGTCAACTTGAGTTCCACCGCCGCGCGTACCCCTGTATTACATGAGTATTACGCAGACGGTGGGTAGGCGCATAGTAGCGTGTAGTGGCGCCTGTGTCATAATTACTTGCATAAAATTATTCTAACTCCCTTGTGCTTTTCTTTTGCAGGCGTGGACTACACTTCGATTGCCTCATTGATGAAAACCCAGCTCGAAAACATGGGTTTGGATTACCAGGCGCCTGTGATTCCAGGCAAGGCGCCCTCCCGTCCAAAGAAGGGCGCTTCCAAGAAAGGGAAGGGCAAACCCGCCTCCTCTCGCGCAAAGGGTACAAGTGAAGCTGATGCGCCTGCTGCGCCGTCCGGCAAAGAAAATGGGCGCTCAAGCCCTCGGAGGATTAAGCCACAGAGAGTGCCCAGCGAGAAGAATGCGCCTGCTGATATCCCCCCTGAAACAGAGGCGCCTGGGTCTGCTCAGTCCGACCATGCCTTGGATATTGATGAGGTCCCTCTTTCTCATAGGCTCAAAAGGAAGGCCGATGATGGTGAATCGGCGCATGGCAAGAAGCAGCGCACTGGCGAGGAGGCGCATGTTCCTGCCTTTGTAGAGAAGTGGCTACAGCCGCCCAGGCACAAGGTTGTCGTGGAATGCTCAGACAGGTCCGCCCTGGAGCGAAGCTAGGCGCTCGGCTTTGCATTCCACGCCGCTGAGGTACTGCGGGCGCCCTCCAACGTTGAGGGGAGGAACCTATGGGGAGAGGTGGCGCGCATAGCAGCCATGGTATGTACCAAGTTAACTTCATACTTTTCCTTACTATGCTGTACTTTGTTTCGCCACGGTATGCGCCTATGTATACGATTTCATACTTGTTATTTTTGCTTTGGTGTAGATGCTCCACTTGGCCAAGAATGGTGCCATGGCGCACGAGGCGCTGCGCCTAAGCGGGGTGGAAGCATCCAACTCCCTTGGCGTGGCGAAGGAAGATCTGGAGACGGCGCGGAGGCGCCAGGCGGAGCTGGCGTAGGAGTGCGAGCATGCCAACCTTGAGGCCGCCAAGGCCGCATCTCTCCTACAGCAAAGGGTGGACGAAGAAAAGGCGAAGTTGAAGTTAGAACATGCGGCCGAGCTGGAGAAAATCAAGAGGGCGCATCATGAAGAGGTGGCCAAGCTCGTGAAGGAGAAGGCCGATCTGGACAAGGAGGCCGGCGCCCAAAGGAGTGAAATCGATCTTCTCATCGACGAGAAGAAGGCTTTGCAGAAGGAGAACAGGCATCTGGTTCGAGAAGGTAAGAGGCGCCAAGAGGAGTTAGAGGCGCTTAAAAGCGAGAAGGCGTCTTCGGAGGCGCCTGTTTCAGACTTAGCGGTCAAGGCCCAGGCGTCCCTGAATAGCATCCTTATCCTGAAGAGGAAGTTGGAGGTTGACCATCCCAATATCAATTGGGATGTCAAGGAGATGGCTAACTTCGTCATCGATTTCATGTCCAGCGGGCGCCCCATTATCGATGCCGCTCCTGCGCCGCCCGACGACCAAGCAGATGAAGCTGGTTCTGGATCGAGCTCGGAGTCTAGTGATAACGAGGATGGGAATGAAGAAGACTGATCCTCTATTCTATGTTTGAATTTTCATGCGTTTGAACCTTTTATTGCGCCCGCCTAGGCGCCTTGATGTGCCCGTGCCGCCCAACTTGTTATCTTATACCAGACTTCTTATGTTTTATTTGGCTATCTTTTATTTATTTTGCTTTATGAACAGACGAGTGTCCATTTTTCTTTTGTAACCTTTGCGCCTTAGTCTTACAGACGTCTTACCTCAATATTTTACTTAGCATTGTACTTCATCATATGGGGCATATTACATAAATGCTGTGGGCGCGTGAGAGGGCACAATGATTTGGTGCTATGGGAGCATGAGAGGGCACAATGATTTGGTGCTATGGGCGCATGAGGGCACTATAAAACACTCCCAAAAAGCAAGTTAACAAAACAAGTATGTATATATATTCCGACTTAAAAAATAACCTCCGGGCGCTACTACTGGGCGCTTTAAGTATCCCGGGCGCTGAGGGGCGCTTTACACAAATGTTGTGGGCGCATGAGGGCGCTTTAAAAATACTACGACGAGCGAACTATTGAAGTAGCTATGTATATGTATTCCGATTTCAAAAAACAACCTCAGGGCGCTATTACCGGGCGCTTTAAGTATCCCGGGCGCTAATACTACGGGCGCATTTAGGCGTTTTCCCATACTCCCACCAAAAAAATCACACCCCGAGGCCTGATACTTGTTCTCACAATTACCATAAGCTGGGCGCCCCTTCTGGCACCCTACCATCTTCTCTCGTCACATTGGCCTCCGCAACCCCATACCTTCGCAAATTCTGGGCATTCCACGTTCTCTTTACCTTCTTTCCCGACAAATGCTCCAACTTAAATGTGCCAGGCCCCACTACCTCTTGCACACGATACGGTCCCTTCCACTTTGGTGCCAACTTTCCATCAGTAGCTTTCGGTCGGAAGTCGCGCTTCAACACTAAACTCCCAGCCACAATGTCGTGTGGGCGCATCTTCTTGTTGTAGTACCGAGCCACTTGTGATTTCATGGCCTCCAGGCGCAGAGCAGCTTTCTCGCGGCGTTCGTCCAGGAGATCCAACTCATTGATCCGCTCCTGCGCCTCCATCGACTCCTCCCTATGCGCCATCCGAAAGGTCGGAATGCGCACCTCCACCGGCAACACCGCCTCACTCTCGTATGTTAGCGCAAAAGGCGTTTCTCCTGTTGCAACTTTGAAGGTGGTCCTATGCGCCCATAAGACGCTTGGGAGTTCCTCCACCCAGTTCCCCTTGGCCTCGGTGAGCCTGGTATGTAGCCCATGTAAAATGCTTTTGTTAGCCGCCTCAGCCTGCCCATTTGCCTGCGGGTACGCCACGGAGGAGAACCTCAAGACCACTCCATTTTCGTCGCAGAAGTCAATGAACTTCTTGCAATCAAACTGCTTGCCATGGTCGGTGATGATCGATTCTGGCAGCCCGAACCTTGTGAAAATGTTCTTCCTTACGAACTTCCGTACTTGCACTTCTGTGATGGATGCCAATGGTTCCGCCTCAATCCACTTGGTAAAGTAATCAATAGCCACAATTAGATATTTGAACTACCCGGGCGCCTTTGGGAAGGGTCCCAGTAGGTCCATCCCCCATTGAGCGAAGGGCCAGGCGCTTACGTTTCCCTGCATGGGTGCCGCTGGCACATGTATATCATTGGCATGGATTTGACATTGATGGCAACCGGCCACGTGCTTTCCAGCGTCAGCTCTCATTGTCGGCCAGTAATATCCCTGCCTTAACAACACCTTCTCCAGGATCCGAGCTCCCGCGTGCATTCCACACGTTCCTTGGTGTACTTCCGCGATGGCCCTTTGCCCTTCAGCTTCTGTGAGGCACCGAAGGTAGGCGCCGGAGTGAGACCTTTTGTATAGCACTCCCTCCCTGATGACACATCGCGCCGCCTTCCTTCTCAAGCGCCAAGCCTCTTTTGGGTCTTCCGGGACCACACCTTGCGTTAGGAACAACATGATAGGCGCCATCCACCCATCCAATACTTCTCCGAGGAAAGTTGCCATCATCCTTTCCTCGCGCGGGGCCTCTTTGGTGACTATCACCTTTCTATCCTCTCCAAAATCCAGCGCCGTGGCCAACTTTGATAGAGCATCCGCATGGGCGTTCTCCTCCCTTGGAACATGTGTGAACGTCGCCTCCCGAAACCACGCACACTTTTCTTTGACGGCACGAACATACGCGCCTAGCGCCTCTTCTTTGACCTCATACACATCGTTCAACTGATTGACCACCAGCGCTGAGTCGGTTTGGACATTAACCTTCTGGGCGCCTAGCTCCCTTGCCATGTGAAGCCCCGCTAACACAGCCTCATACTCCGCCGCATTGTTCGTCTTAAGGGTTGCAAATCGCAGAGCGACTTCATGCATGGCGCCCAGGGGGCTAATCAGCACAATACCCGCTCCCGCACCAGCTCGACTTGCGGCTCCATCTACCTGAACTTGCCAACACTCTTCCACGCCGCTTCCCATGTCAACTACTCCTTCGGCCACGAAATCAGCCAACACTTGAGCCTTTATGGCTGGTCGGGGCGCATAGCTCACGTCGAATTCGCTCAGCTGAACAGCCCACTTAACCAGGCGCCCGGACACATCCATGGACCCCAAGACCGTTCGGAGAGGTAAATTTTTGAGCACGACGATGCTATGAGCCTGGAAGTAGGGCCTGAGTTTGTTCGCCGCCATTACCACCGCCAGCGCCGCCTTCTCAATAGGCGCATACCTCGTTTCATGCACCACCATCGTGCGACTTACATAGTACACCGGTCACTCTTCATTTGTTGACGGATCTTTAGACACCAACACCGTACTCACAGCAATCCGGGAGACCGCAATGTACAGGTATAAAGTCTCTTTAGGCCTGGGCGCCGTCATCACCGTAGGCGCGATCAGCAACTTTTTTAGATCCCCAAAGGCCTCATCGCACTCCTCCGTCCATTTAAATTTGCTGGCCTTCTTCAATGTTCGGAAGAAAGGGGCGCGTCTATCCGAGGACCTCGGAATGAAGCGCCCAAGCGCTGCCAACCTTCCCGTCAACCCCTGCACCTCCTTCGGTGTTCGGGGAGGCGTCAACCTCATAATTGCTTCAACTTGCTTGGGGTTGGCTTCAATTCCTCTCTTCGTGATCATGAATCCCAAGAACTTGCCGGCCTCCGCAAGGAACACACATTTCTGTGGGTTTAGTCGCAGGTTGTATGAGCGCATAGTCTCAAACGTTTCACGCAAGTCCAAAATGTGGTCTTGGCGCCTCTTACTTTTCACAATCAAATCGTTGACGTATGCCTCCACGTTCCTTCCCAACTGTTTCCGAAAGATTTGATTCACCATGCGCTGATACGTGGCGCCTGCATTCTTCAACCCAAACGCCATCACTTTATAGCAGAAGTTACCAAAGGGCGTCATAAAGGTGGTCTTTGCTCTATCCTCCTCCACCATGGGAATTTGATGATACCCTGAAAACATATCAAGAAAGCTGAGCGCCTCATGGTAGGCCATGGCGTCCACAAGTATATCAATGCGCGGCATTGGGTAGGCGTCTGTTGGGCACGCCCGGTTAAGGTTTGTGAAATCTACACACATCCTCCAATCCCCCGACGGCTTTGGGACGAACACCACGTTCGATAGCCACGTGATGTATCTGGCCTCTTCAACGAACCCAGCCTCAAGCAATTTATCGACCTCCTTCCTTAGGGCTTCTTCCGTCTCTTGAGTCAAATTCCTTCGCTTTTGTTGGACAGGCTTCTTTCCTTCCTCGACGGCCAATCGATGCGCCGCCACATCTGGTGATACTCCCGGCATGTCCTGGGGGCTCCAAGCGAATAGCTCGCCAAATTCTCGCAACAATTCAATCAAGGGCGCCCTCATGTGTTCAGGAGCCTGTGCGGACACTCGTACCTGCCTGTCCGGGCGCCCCTCTTCGATCGGTACCCTGAACTCATCATCCATAGGCTCTGCTCTAGGCGCCTCCTCCGGCCGAATGTCTATGTTGTTCACTCGGTGCCTCCGCGCGCCCTTCCTTCTTCCTTCCTCTTCTCGCGCATAGCGGGGGTCGCCTTCTCCCCTTGAAATTCC